CATCTGTCGGGGGTGCTTTGAATGTGATTTTCCTTCTTCTTGGCAGAGGGTCGGACTGCATGGCCCACGAGACCTCTTCCAACTATATGATTCTATGAACGTAACAAGCAGAGGCGGCCCTAGGTAATTTTCAACGGTAAGCAAACAGTATTTTGCCCCCCCTCCCCAACCACTCACTGATATATATTTTCTGTTCGTCGTGGGAGTTCTGTGTGCCATATTTGGTTCAATTCCATCATTGGTGGAGTTCAGAATGTTCTTTGATTGTAGGTGAACTATACATCCCAGTAACTACAACTTGCATATGTCAAGGTCTATTGTCCCCCAAGAGTGTCTCAAGAGTGCCCCTGGACAAAATCAACTATACTGTGAATGCTTACTTTGCGTAATGGGTTGAGCCGCCCCTGGTAACAAGAAACCTCTGAGTCTGTAGGAAATAAGCAATAAATCATATACAACTAAAATATTTTAAAAATATTAAAATCATTGAAATACTAAAAACAAGTTTAATGTTTACAATTTAAATTTCAAATTTAAATATTTTTTAATTAAATATTTTAATATTTTAAAAATATTTGTATATTTTAAATTTGTATATTTTTCATTTATATTTTTAAAAGTGTTCAAAAGATGTGTTGTGTCCCATACACTACATTCTACTACAGCTTATGTCTGTGCCTGCATCTCTTATAAGGCTTTGGTTCAACCTCTGGTTTGCTAGTAAAACTGAATTACTGTGTCGCGAAATGATGCGTGTCTAAAAAATGTGTCACCAACATGAAATGTTTGGAAAGCTCAGTTCTAGCTCCTCCAGCATGTTCAACCTCTGATGGACATTGGCCAAAGAGTCATGCTGGAGGGCCTAGAGCAGTAGTTCTCAACCTGCGGTCCCCAGATGTTTTTTGCCTACAACTCCCAGAAATCCCAGCCAGTTTACCAGCTGTTAGGATTTCTGGGAGTGGTAGGCCAAAAGCATCTGCGGACCCTCAAGTTGAGAACCACTGGCCTAGAGATTCATAGAGAGAATACAAGCTGAGAAGTCTATAGTTCAGTGGTCCTCAACCTGTGGATCTCCAGGTGTTTTAGTTGAGTACTTCCAGAAATCCCCGCCAATTTACCAGCTGTTTGGATTTCTGGGAGTTCAAGGCTAAAACATCTGGGGACCTACAGGTTGAGTGTGTCTGCACTGTTTGTTTTTGATAAGGCCAACTGGCTAATCAATAAAAATTGTTGTTGTTGTTGAGAACCACTGTTCTAGTTGACATATGGTCAACATCTGACTACAATTTGCTGTTTTCTCTATGCTGGTAAGGACATTCTGGGAATTGTAGATTTTTATGAACCTTCGACAACAATATTTCCAAACTCTCATCTCAGCCATGACCTTCCAAACAAAACATTGCCTCTGAACTTTCTAAGAGCAAAGTAAACCAAATGCTATTGACTCTTGAAAGTCAACGCCAACCACTTTCTCCCTTTATTAAGGACAGGCTGGAAGGAAAGCAAACAGCCTCGCTGCTTTATGGTATCTGAAAAAAATGTCATTGTATTTGCACTTGGCAAGATGAAGCTGGTCTTTGAATTTCCCCCGAGGGAAGTGCCTTTCTGTGAAAATTACACAAAGAGTTATTTGGAGAAAGGGCAAAGAGTTCTTATTATGGGCTTATTGTTTAAGGGTTTTGAAATCTCCTGCAGGCCTTGATTGTTTCAAAGTTTACAGAGAAGACACAGGCAACAGAAGCAAAAATTGCATATGCGTTTTGCACAGAAAATAGTTTGTGTAGACAAATTATTTTCTGTTAGCTGTGCAGAAAATTCTGAGTAATCTTCGAAGAGTTTGGTCAGTTTGGGACATTCTTAAGATTTCCTGGTGCATAAGAAAGATTTTTTTCTGAATATGTTTATATTATTTTCCATCCCTATGGTAGAATGTTTCATATTCGCATTGAAAGATTCTGTGGCACATGACAATTGGGTTTGTCAAGATTATTAAGATCATCTGGAGAGGCCCTGCTCTCGGTCCCACCGGCCTAGCAAGCGCGCCTGGTGGGGACGAGGGACAGGGCCTTCTCGGTGGTGGCCCTGCGACTCTGGAACTCTCTCCCTCTGGAGACCAGAACCGCCCCATCCATCCTAACATTTAGGAAACGGGTGAAGACGTGGCTGTGGAGTCAGGCCTTCGATGAATGAGACAACACCATAGGACCCTGGATGGAAGTTGATGTAGATCCATCTTAATAGGACGACTGACCACTGTAGTTTTATATATAGTGTTTTTAAAGTTGTTTTTGTAATTGTGATATATGATATTTTAATGAGTGTATATGTTTTTTATGGCTGGAAACCGGGCTGAGTCCCTCAATGAGGTTGAGAAGCTTGGTATAGAAAACTGTGAAATAAATAAATAAATATTTGTCCTATTTGTTTTCCTTCAGAGGGTTTCTGAGTACTCAGGATTCTGGACTGAGCAACATACTACCTAGAATGTAATAAAATAGGCATGGAATGTTTATCATGCCAACAGAGGCGGCCCCAGGTAATTTTCAATGGTAAGCAAGTGGTATTTAGCCCCCCCCCCCCCAACCAATCACTGATATATATTTTCTGTTCATCGTGGGAGTTCTGTGTGCCATATTTGGTTCAGTTCCATCATTGGTGGAGTTCAGAATGTTCTTTGATTGTAGGTGAACTATACATCCCAGTAACTACAACTTGCATATGTCAAGGTCTATTTTCCCCCAAGAGCACCTCAAGAGCGCCCCTGGGCAAAATCAACTCTACTGCGAATGCTTACTTTGCGTAATGGGTTGAGCCACCCCTGCATGCCATAGGAAAAAAAATATTTCCTAGTGGTATTTTTTTCTAAAATGGCAAGACTATAGAGCAGGCATGGGCAAACTTTCTAGTTTGGGGGCCGCATGGCAAGTTGGAGCAGGGTGGGTGGACCAGGAGGGAGGGGGTTCTCTCCAAGCCCCCTTGCTGCCCTTTCCTCCCCTTCCTCTTCTCTTTTGGAAGCAGAAAGTGAAGGAAAGATGGGAAACGTTTGGATCCCAGAAGGGTTGGTCTTGGTCAGGATGAGATGGTGGACGGGAGAGAAAAAGTTTATCCATTAGACCTTGTATTGCCTATTCCTGATATAGAATCCTAGAATCCGAGAACTGGAAAGGCACAATCAAAACTTGTGCACCAGTTGCGCCCGTACCTTGGGAAGTCTGATCTGGCCACAGTGGTCCATGCTCTTGTTACATCCCGAATAGATTACTGCAACGCACTCTACGTGGGGTTGCCTTTGAAGACGGTTCGGAAACTTCAACTAGTCCAGCGGGCGGCAGCCAGATTACTCACCGGAGCGTCATACAGGGAGCATACCACCCCTCTGCTATGTCAGCTCCACTGGCTGCCGATCCAATTCCGAGCACAATTCAAAGTGCTGGTTTTGACCTACAAAACCCTATACGGTTCCGGCCCAGCGTATCTGTCCAAATGTATCTCTTTCTACGTCCCGCCTCGGAGTTTAAGATCTTCTGGGGAGGCCCTGCTCTTGGCCCCTTCTCTATCACAAGTGAGGTTGGTGGGGATGAGGAGCAGGGCCTTCTCAGTGGTGGCCCCTCACCTGTGGAATTCGCTCCCGGGGAAATTAGGTCATCATCATCCCTCCTCTCATTTAGAAGGAAATTAAAAACATGGATCTGGGACCAGGCCTTTGGGTAATCTGGCAGATAGACAAAGAACTAGTGACGACAACTGATGGACTTGACTGTGTGAAACTGAATTTATGAACTCTGAGTTGGCAAACGCTGAGCATTAGATTAGTTTTATAGATTTTGATGATGTGATGTTTTTGATGTGTGATGTATAATGGACTGTTTTAATTGTTTTAATTACTGTTTACATATGTTTATTTTTACCTTGTTGTGTGCCGGCATCGAATTGTGCCTTTTGTAAGCCGCCCTGAGTCCCCCCTCGGGGGTTGAGAAGGGCAGGGTAGAAGTGCAAGAAATAATAAAATAATAATAAAACCACTCCCAATAAAGTCCTTGTGGAAAAGCATCCACAGAAAGAGGCTCTATCACTCTCTGAGGCAGCCTATGCCACTCTCTGACAGCTCTTTCTCTCAGGGAGTTCTTCCTAATGTTTCAATTGAATCCCTTTCCCTGCCATTTGAACCCATTACTCCCTTGTGCCCTAATCTCTAGAGCAGCAGAAAGTCAGTTTTCTCCTGCCCTCTTCCTCAATGGGACATCCTTTGAAATCATGAAACATGGTTCTCATGTTCTCTCTCTACCTTCTCTTCTCCCAGCTAAACATCCCGAGGAGGAAAGAAGGAAGAAAAAAAGAGAAGGAATGAAAAGAGAGAGGAAGAGAAGGATGGAATGAAGGGTAGAAGAGAATGGAGGGAGAGAGGAAAGAGAGGAGGAAGGAAAGACAAAAGGGAAGGAGAAGGAGGGAAAGAGGGAAGAAAGAGGGATGGAAGGAGGAAAGGGTGAAAAGGAGGGAGGGAGAAAGGGGGTGGTAAGGAAGGAAGAGCAGGAGTGAAGGAGGAAGGAAAGAGAGAAGGAAGGATAGAATGGCGAGAGAGAGGAGGGCCTGAGAAAAGAGCTCAAGGGGCCGGATGCGGCCCCCGGGCCAGGGTTGCCCCATACCTGCTATAGAACAATCCTGCCATGGTAGAATAACATGGGTGCTTTTGCCTTCAAACATAGTAGAGTTTGGAAAAGTTACTTTTTTCAAGGACAATTCCCAGAATCCTCTAGCCAGCATAATCCAGCCCTGAGAAAAACCCAGTTAGCAGGAAAATAAATTAAGGGTGTTGGAGATTGGTGGCATCATAGATACTAAACCAGGGGTTCTCAAACTAAGGCCCGAGGGCCGGATGCGGCCCTCCAAGGTCATTTACCTGGCCCTCGCTCAGGGTCAACCTAAATCTGAAACAACTTGAAAGCACACAACAAAAACAACAATCCTATCTCATGAGCCAAAAGCAGCCTTACGATTCCCACTGAAATACTATTAAGTTTATATTTGTCAAAATTGTTCTTCATTTCAATGATTGTATTCTTTTAAAGTGTTTTTTGCACTACAAATAAGATATGCGCAGTGTGCATTAGGAATTCACTCATGTTTTTTTCAAATTATAATCTGGCCCTCCAACAGTTTAAGGGACTGTGACCTGGCCCTCTGATTAAAAAGTTTGAGGACCCCTGTACTAACCAATAGACACTTTTGATTTCTCTAGATGACTACCCAATTTTAAACTACATCCATGGAAATTTCCTTACTTGGTACAGGTCTGTGAGGATGAAAGCAGCAGTAGTTTTGGATTTTGGACTCATTTTCTGGAACAAGAGCCAACAAACAGCAGCAGACCCTCAAATAATAAAGGTAAGGCTACCTAAAATTGCACGATACTGACTTTGGGGCTGGAAGAAAGTATCAAGTGTTGTAGAAACTACAGATGCTTGCAGTGGTACATTGAAGCGAATTACATACATTGGGGTGAGGAGGGAGTGAACTAGCCTATATGAAGCTCAAGCTACACTTTCTCCATAGGCTAAACCTGCTGTTTGAGTTTAACGTGGTGGGCTTTCTTCGGACCCAGGTTCTCTGCTTCCACAAAGTCTCCTCCATGAGAGTTTCTTCACTTCCTCTTGCTTGTCCACCCTTTCCTTTATCAACGAGGTTCTGCATATTGTTAGGCCTCAGCCGCATTGCCACAATGTCCTCCTCCACAAAGATAATGATCCACCAAAAGCGGGTATTGATGCGGCTCCTGAGCAGCAGTCGCCAAGATGGCCAGGATCAACGAGGAAATGGCTCAGAAGCGGGAGATGTTTGGACGATGGTAGTCCGCATTGGCACGGGTGGGAAGGGGAGAGGAGGTCGACACCCCAAGTTCTCAATGCAAGGGCTGGAGTGGATGCTTTGGTTGGTTTGATTATCAGCTGCAGGGCAGAACAGATGGGCAATGAAGGTGGGGAGCAGTGATAAACAGCAAGGCAGTCTCTCTCTCTCTCTGTATGTCCCTCTCTCTGGATCAACGCAAAGGCACCATATCAACTCTGCAGCCCCAACGTTTCTGGGAAGGATGATCATGGGCAAGTATGAACCAGGAGGAGCATTGGGCACTAGTGAGACTTCTGTCCCTGGAGCATGCTGTAGAAGGAGAAAAAGATGTAATAAGATTATTATTTGGGACTCTGCCCAACTCAGCCATGAAACAACATCATGGTTGAAGGAAGGAGAAGAGAGATCTGGAAAATGAAAGAAGGAAAGCCAGGTTCAACCAACAAAGAATGAACGTAAGTTAATAAATTGTTAGTTCCCACAATGATATTGTTTAAGATAATATTTATATTGTACTTTCAAGGGAAGCAAGAACTATTAGAAGAATAATACTGGCCAGTAGATATTTTAGTGACTCAAATTTTAGCCCTGTTTATGGGTATACTTGACCTGCTGTTTCCAAACATGGCACCAGTTTCCCCCTATCAGCTCTCGTTTTTGAGAGCTGTTGCCATTAGAAACCATGATAACTATATCCAAGAAACTACATCTGATGCCGCCCATCCAAATGCAATATTCTAAAACTGTACTCCAGGAATAGGCCTAAAAAGCCAAGACACCAAAGTTTTGTTTTGTTTTTTGGTGGGCTGTGTAATACTTTGGTAAGACCCCTCTATCTGCCAAGTGATATGTTCCTGGCCAGATCTCCGTTATGTAAATAAAGGATGTGATTGTACACCTTAAAACTACCTGACTTCCAGTTCCCACATACCATAGAGTCCCCCTGGGGAACTAAGAAAAATCCTAAAAACATATCACATTTAGGAATTTGCTACGTCCTCTAGGATTTCCTGGGAAGCAAATCAAAGAATTGCCTGGAGGTCCTAGCAAATTCCTACACTGACAGTTCTTCCTTGGTCATGAGTGAGATCATGGATCTGGGTCCCACGCTCAGAAAAATAAAGGGGCATTCAGAGACCATGAAGGCACACTTCCATATCCTTCATGCCTGAAAAGGAACCCACAAATTGTCCACTAGGGTTGTGTTGTTGAAGGCTTTCATGGGTGTGAATTGCTGTGAATTTTCCGGGCTGTATGGTCATGTTCAAGGAGCATTCTCTCCTGATGTTTCACCCATGTATCTATGGCAGGCATCCTCAGAGGTTGTAATTGGCCACCTTGATTAACAATGAATAGCCTTGCATCTTCAAATCCCGGCTGCTTCCTGCCTGGGGGAATTCTTTATTGGGAGGTGTTAGCTTGCCCCGATTGCAGGGGTGGCTCAACCCATTACGCAAAGTAAGCATTCGCAGTATAGTTGATTTTGCCCAGGGGCGCTCTTGAGGCGAGTTGTAGTTACTGGGATGTATAGTTCACTTACAATCAAAGAGCATTCTGAACTCCACCAATGATGGAATTGAACCAAATATGGCACACAGAACTCCCATGATGAACATAAAATATATATCAGTATATATCAGTGATTGGTTGGGGGGGGGGGGCGCCAAAATACTGTTTGCTTACCGTTGAAAATTACCTAGGGCCGCCTCTGCCCGATTGTTTCTTGTCTGAAATTCCCACCCCCCTTTTTTGTGTTGTTCTTTATTTACTGTCCTGATTTTAGAGTTGTTTTTTTTTTTTTAATAATACTGGTAGCCAGATTTTGTTCATTTTCATGGTTTCCTCCTTTCTCTATGTTGTCTGTCATGGTATTTGTTAGAGTGGTCCAGCATTTCTGTGCTCTCAAATAATATGCTGTGTCCAGGTTGGTTCATCAAGTGCTCTGCTTTGGCTGACTCCTCCCAGGCAGGAAGTAGCCAGGCTTTGAAGCTGAAAGGCCATTCAATGCTAATTAAGCTTGCTAACACTCACATTTGCCTCTAACAGATGAGGGTTCTTTCTCCCACCATGGACATTCCACAGATATATAAATCCCACTTGCCAAGTTTCCAACATACCTCACAACCTCTGAGGACGCCTGCCATAGATGTGGGTAAAACGACAGGAGAGAATGCTTCTGGAGCATTGCCATGCATCCTAGAAAACTTACAGCAACCCAGATACTGTGGTTGACATCACTAATGGCGTTTTGGCTGAGTTGGGCAGATACCCAAATAGTAAACTGCTGAACATAGTTATCTGAAAATCATGAGCTCTGAATGTTGCAGATATTTATTTATTTATTTATTTACAACATTTATATGGTGCCCTTCTAACCCCGAAGGGGACTCAGAGCAGCTTACAAAATATATATACATACAATATATTATATTATTAGCATAGCACAATATCAGTATTAAATATTACTATATTGTACTATACCATTATATTGTAATATTATTACTAATATTACAAGTAAATTAATATATAATTATAATATCATATTATTATTATTATATTGCAGTTATGGCAATGTTAAAGAAAGGTAGATTCATGACTGATACATCCTTATCCTTCATGCCTGAAAAGGCACCCACAAATTGTCCACAAATTCAACTGTCAACTTATGGTCTCTTTGGGTGTGACATTTTCTGCAAAAGGGGAAATTTATGCAGAGCTTGAGAGAAAGAGAGAGAGAAAAATATTTTGAGCATAACTCCCAGCAGCCTTAAAGTTGGTCAAGGGATCCTGGAAGCAAGAATTTCTCAATCTTTCAAGTTATTTAGTCACCATATTTGAAGGCCGAGTCAGTGAAAAAAAAAATCCAATTAAAGTGTCGGTTTAATGAGAATTTTGAAAGCAATGAGGTTAGCGATTGAAAGTTATGCCTGTAGTGATTTGTACACGAGAACCTGGTACTTACTGCGTAGAATTCTTAAATGCTATACCGCAGTGCACACCGTGCTGACTGTAAACTCTGCCTCATTGGCCATGATATCTGTCGGCTGCAAGTTGCGGTCATACATTGGGTTTTCAAATGTTCCTCGGACGTTGGTGTTTTCATGGCCAGCATAGCCATTGAAGGGCACCTTCGGTCTCCTTCTGAACCAGACGGGGGTCAAAGAAACATAGGAGGGAAACAGAGAGAACATGGTGGATGGTTAACACAACAACTAGATTCTCGAAAAAGGAGTGAGTGGCAGAATTATTTATTTATTTACAGTATTTATATTCCGCCCTTCTCACCCCGCAGGGGACTCAGGGTGGATTACAATGTACACATATATGGCAAACGTTCAATGCCAAAGACACACAACAGATACAGACAAACAGTTAGAGGCTATTTAACTTTTTCTGGCCACCAGGGGAACTGTCGCTTTCATCGTCCATCTGCGACAGTGATGAAGTACTTCAACCCCATCACTACCTCAAGGACATGTTGAGATGTCATTGCCACTGCTATAATTTCAAATATATTCTGTACATAAATTGTACCTGGTTGCCATGCATAGACAGCAGCATTTTCCAAATAGCAAAAATAGCATTTTCTGCACAGGAAGTAATATTTCTGCATTGAATATTTTCTACAGAGAAAAAAGTACTTTTCTGTGCAGAAAAACGCTGGTTTCTGCACAAAAAGAACTATATGTGAATTTTGCACAGAGTAATTTCAACACTCTGAAGATTCCTATCAGTCTAGGATACTTGGCATAGTACTCAGTACAAAAACATGTTTTTCAACAATTTTAAAATATTTTCAAATATGGTATTATTTCCATCTTAATGGATGGTCTCCATCTGAGCAAGGTGGAGAGTTCACACAGGCATGAGCAAATTTTCTAACTTGGGGACCGCATGGCAGGCTAGAGTAGGGTGGGCAGGCTGGAAGAGGGGGTTCCTTCCAAGTCCTCTCCCTACCCTTGCCTCCCTTTCCTCTTCTCTTTGGGAGGCAGAATGTGAAGGAAAGATGGCAAATGTTTGGATCCCAAAAGGGTTGGCCTTTGTCATGATGAGATGGTGGACAGGAGAGAAAAGTGTATCCCTTAGACCCCATATTTACAGAGAGAGGTCAACCCTCCTGTTTAAGGAGCTCCATTGGCTGCCGTTCATTTTCTGGTCCCAATTCAAGGTGCAGGTGCTTACCTACAAAGCCCTAAACGGTTTGGGACCCGCCTACCTGCGTGACCGCATCTCCGTATATGAACCCACACGATCTCTCCGATCATCTGGAGAGGCCCTGCTCACGATCCCACCTGTGTCACAAGCGCGGTTGGTGGGAACGAGGGACAGGGCCTTCTCTGTGGTAGCCCCCCAACTCTGGAACTCTCTCCCCAAGGACATCAGACAAGCCCCAACATTGGCAGTCTTTAGGAAGAGCTTGAAGACGTGGCTGTTCCAGTGTGCCTTCCCAGAATAGGAAACTCCAAGCATCATGTCCCAAATGCACTTTACTAGAGATTTAAGATTGTCTGCACATCGCACCTATCTCTAATAACCTATACATTTCACCTGTCATGTCTAGCACTTTTTAAATCATTACATTTGGCCCGGCCTTAGTTTTAAATGCGTCGTGGTGTTATCGTTCTAATGTTTATTGTTATTGCGTTAATGTTTATTGCCTTGCTTTATGAGTTTTATTGTTGTGTTTGTTATGCTGTTGTTTTATTGAGGGCCTTGGCCTTTTGTAAGCCGCACCGAGTCCTTCGGGAGATGTTAGCGGGGTATAAATAAAGTTAATAATAGAAATAAATAATAATAATATTGCCTACTACTGATATAGAGTCCTAGAGCTGGAAGAGACCCCTAAGGGCCATCCAGCCCAACCTCCTGCTATGCAGGAAGGCACAATCAAAACACTCCCCATAGCCTCTGCGGAAAAGCCTCCAGAGAAGGAGACTCCACCACACTCTCGGGGAGCCTAAGGCACTTTCCAACAGCTCTTACTCTCAGGAAGTTCTTCCTAATCTTGTCAGTTAAACTTCTTTCCCTGCATTTGAAACAATTGCTCCCTTGTGCCCTGGTCTCTAGAGCATCAGAAAGTCAGTTTCCCCCTCCCCCTCCTCCTCCTCCTCCTCAATGGGACACCCTTTTAAACTGTGAAACATGGTTCTCATGTTCCCTCTCAACCGTCTCTTCTCCTAGCTAAACATCCCCAGGAGGAATGGAGGAAGGAAAGAGATGAGGGAGGGAGAGAAGGAAGGAAGGGTGGAAGGGATATTTTTTATTGATGTTCTGTGCCTTCTAGTTGTTTTTGACTTAGAGCATCCTTAAGACAACCCTATTGTGACGTTTACCTGAGGTTGAAAGTGTGTGACTTACTCCAGGTTGGTTGCATGACTGAGCAGGGATTTGAACCTGTTGTCCAGAGTTGTACAACAGGAGCTCCCGGTGGCACAGTGGGTTAAAGCACTGAGCTGCTGAACTTGTTGACCAAAAGGCTGCAGGTTTGAATCCAGGGAGCAGGGTGAGTTCCCGCTGTTAGGCTCAGTTTCTGCCAACCTAGCAGTAAGTAGATCAATAGGTATCGGCATTCCATGCAGTCATGCTGGGCACATGACCTTGGAGGCGTCTATGGACAATGCCTGAGAAATGGAGATGAGCACCAACCGACAGTCAGACACAACTGGTCTTAATGTCAGGGAAAAACCTTTACCTTTACTGGGTTGTTGTAGGTTTTTTCGGGCTATATGGCCATGTTCTAGAGGGATTCTCTCCTGACGTTTCGCCTGCATCTATGGCAAGCATTCTCAGAGGTAGTGAGGTCTGTTGGAACTAGGAAAATGGGTTTATATATCTGCTGAATGACCAGGACGGGACAAAGAACTCCAGCTCATAAAACAATGTGCATATTTAAAAATGTGCTTCATAGCAATCTGGCAGGACCAGTGAAGCATCAACGCCCCTAATGAGGACTTGAGCATATGACTGAAGTCCTCATGATGGTCACAAGGTGACCTTGGCTTGAGCACTCTCTCCCTGGCTTTCCTTTTGCAGGGTTTTTGTGAGAGCAGAGGAATAAATAACACTGTGTGACATGATTTTTGTTTCTGGGTTATAAATGTCATTTCATAATTGGTTCTATCATAAAGACATGGGCAAAGTTTATTAAACTGCAAAACCTTTGTTTTGCAGAACATCCTGCAGCACGTTTTGCTATAGTTTTTCAATGAATATCTCGTAAAGTCTCAACCAATTCAACATAGCCACAAAAATGAAGTTTCTGGAGTATAACAACTACTTTCATAGTAAGTACTGTACAATTATACAGGAAATAAAACTTTCAAACCAGGAACAGATTTTTTCTCCAAATTTCTCTACATAGTTTCTCCTGGCCTACACATCTGTGGAAAATCCAGATTATCTGCTTTGAACTGGATCATATGGCAGTGTATACTCATATAATCCAGCTCAAAGTAGATAATGAGGATTATCGACCTTGATATTCTGGATTATATGGCAGTGTAGAAGGGCCCATAGTGTAACAGATTCAATTGGTCTACTCCAATTGGGGCTAACCAATAAGGTATGGGTCATATGATTTAAATTCGCAGACTTGAGCTCAATGGGAAAATTTGTGGGATACACATTAAAATACCAATACTATAGAGGAGCCATTAGAGTGCAGTGGTTTGAGAGTTGGACTAGGGGCCCTTCTAGATAGGTCCTATATCCTAGGATATATATAGTGTGACTTGAGAAACTGCAAGTCGCTTCTGGTGTGAGAGAATTGGCTGTCTGCAAGGACGTTGCCCAGGGGACACTTGGATGTTTTGATGTTTTACCTTCCTGTCGGAGGCTTCTCTCATGTCTCCGAACGGGAAGCTGGAACTGACAGACAGGAGCTCACCCTGTTCCCTGGATTCAAACCTCTGACCTTTTGGTCAGCAGTCCTGCTGGCACAAGGGTTTAATCCATTGCGTCACCGGGGGCTCCTACTGGATTATATGAGTCTGCACTGCCAGATAATGTGGGATAAACAGAAAATCTGGGATCACATCCTGGGATATAGGACCTGTCTGGAAGGGCCCTTTGATTCTGGGGCCCCTTCTATAGTGCTATATAATCCAGATTATCAAAGCAGATAACTCAAATTATCTGCTTTGAACTAGATTATATGAATCTACACTGCCATATAATCCCATTCAAAACATATAATCTGGATTTTATTTGGAAGTGTAAATCTCGATTTTATTTGGAAGTGTAGAAGGTAATGGTAAGCCTTCTGTGAACACATAGTGCCCTGAAAATCTATGATCTTAGGGTCTCCGTGAGTCATAAAATGATTTAAAGGCACACAACAACAACTACATCGGTTAATTAAGTTGTGGATTTTTACTGCAACAGGCTTTTAGATAAACTGACAGGAAACAGATTTATTAACGGGTATATAAACACCCTCAGAATGGCACCTTTGCTTTCCAAAGTTTCCTCCAAGGATCCTTCTGATTATCAACTGTTGGGAGGCATATTATGGGAACAATCTCTGTGTGCCTTATCTCCACCTTGTTCTGGCTGTGAGTTTCCCTGGAGGCATCTGGCAGACCATAGTGAGAAAAAGAGCAAGGCAGCAATACTGATTTGTGTTCTTTGCAAGGTATTGCAAGATAATTTCTTTCCCTGGGGACATTTTTTCCTCGCAGACTAATCTCTGTGTTCATCACAGCATTTTGACACGTCGGCCTAAACCCTGTTGTTAGTCCTGATTAGGACAGATTCATTGCAACCATGGAGGTTTTTTTTTTACCTCTGTATTGATGCACCATTCAGTGGGTCTGCTTTGGTTCAGGTTAACCAACAGGGTATAGGTCATATTATTAGACAACCCAGTTGGGTAAAGTCTCTCTGTGACCTTTTTATCTTCATGTCTTGCCATGTATAAATTCTGCCAGCACTGTGATGGAATTTGTAATGGGTTCATATTTCCCTATACATATATCTATTTCTGCACAGAGTCCCACAAAGAGGACAAACGCACATATTGCCTCACAAATACTCATGCCCGAAATTCTCTTATTCACGGTCACTATGTAATAACTTTATTTTTGTACTCTGTCTCCATTTTCCCGAAGGGTGAGAAAAGCGGCATACAAATACTGTAAATAAATAATAAACGCACAGTACAATACAAAAAAGGAAAACCAAGAGCATACAAAACAACAATTTAAAACTCAGAACAATGTCCAATAATCTATGGTGACAACTGCCATAAGACATGGCCAAACTGTAAACAAGACAAAGGAATGGTGATAGGGCAATAATCATGCTACTAGAGAAACCAAAGTTAAAATGTATTTAGAAATGAGCTTCCACTAAGGGTCTGTCTTGTCTGGAACATTTGTGGTTAGCACCTAAGAAACATGTGCAATCAACAACTTTCACAAGACAGTTCAAGCAGAAGGCTAAAAGGCTGACAAAGTGTCTATTGCCATATATGGGGGAAAGAGCTATTTGGGTCTTGTACTTTCCATTGTCAAGAAATCATGTGATTTGCAAGAAGTCAGTTAGTTAATGTGCCAAATAAGGAATTAGAGGCGTTAGTTAGTCAATGTGCTAAATAAAGAATTAAGCCTAGATGGTAGTTTGTAATTGGATAACTTTTGCTGCAGTGCCAAAGGGTCTTGTCCATATAATGTGTGTCTGAGAGACACTGGAGTGGCTGCCTCTTCAAAGTACCAAGACCTGCGTGTTTGGTATGGCTGGCCGTCTCATGATCATGACGAAATAAACCTTGCGTTTGTACTTCTCCTGAGACTGGGTGTCTTTCTGCCTTCTGCGATCGGACCCAATGCAGGGACCCTGAATTGGGAGTCCCTAACAATGGGATAGTGCAAATTGTAGCTAAGGAAGAAGGGCATGGGATGACAGTGCAATGCTGTGTTATTAATTGCAGACCATTGGGGCTAGACATTCTCAAAGACTTGTTTAAACATCCAAGTCTTCAAATCCCTATGGAAGGAGGACAATGTGTGGGGGGCAGGCGGGTTGTCAAATCTCCCTGGGAAGGATGTTCCAAAGCCGGGGCCACCACCAAGAAGGCCCTCTCCCTCATCCCCACCAATCAAGCTTATGATGGTGGCGGGACCATGAGGAGGACCTTCTCAGCAGATCTTAACACTGACGCAGGTACATTAGGGGGGAGTGATGTGGTCATGAAGATAGTCAGGGCCTGAACGTTTTAGGGCTTTATAGGTACTAACTTGCATTTTAAATTGAGACTGGAAACTTATCGGCAGCCAATAGAGCTGCTTTAATAGGGGCATTGTGTGCTTTCTGTAGCTGGCTCCAGTTAGAAATCTGGCTACCGATCTTTGTACCAATTGCAGTTTCTGAGCTGTCTTCAAAAGCAGTCCCATGTAGAGTGCATGGAATTTAAACTTTAGCCTCTCAGATTCCTAGCCCAACACTAAACCCATAGTGGCCCTAGGCGATTGCTTAGCGCCTACAAAACACTTTGTTTTCATTTTTTTGCCTTGTCTTGTTTCCAGGGACTCACCTGTGCTTGTAGAGATAGAGCACAAACCCTGCAATAATCAGGGCAATGAAAGGCACGAGGATTGCAGCTGCCACCGAGCTGCTGTTGGAGGCAAACGGATGTCCCATTGATTCAGAATCTCGTTCATTGATGCTACTGTCTGAAAAGGAAAATCCAGTAAGTCAGGGAAGCTATATTTTCTTAGGATAGAGAAGTTGGGAACTGTCTTTCAATATGTGTCAAGTGTATATTGGAGTGGTCAAACAAGGGACAACCCAGAAGCCCTACAGAACCCCAGACCCATCCTCAATGGAATAATAATAATAATAATAATAATAATAATAATTTATTTGATTAGTCATATGACCATTTCAAAATGTCTTTTTTAAAAAATGGGACAACTTTTGAGATGGCTTTGTGCCTCCAAACCAGTCAAAAGCTTCCAAAGCCACCAAAACATGTAATTATTTCCCCCCACTAATCCCCCAAGCCTCCTAAAAAAAAAGAAAAGGGGGGGGGGGGCGGGAATCAGTAAATATTAGCCAAAATGGTGTCCCAAAGTGATGTCACATTGCTTTGTGTTGGCTATACCAAAATCCACTGGGGTGGGTGCAGGGAAGAAAAACAGATACCATTGTGTGTTGTTATCGAACCCTAGTATCAATCAATACAACTCTCCCATTATGATAATCATGATTTGAAATCTCAATAAAGAATTTGAATAGAAAATGTTTAGAATGCAAGATTAAGAAGCTGGACTCCTCAGGTGACAGGGAAGTGGCCTGACTAGGAGCAGAGGATAAAAGTCCTTCCAACATCTGTTGGGCAACTATATTGGCAAATCCAGGCACAGAAGAGTCATCCCCTTTCCCCACCTGGGTACCAAAGGGATACTTTATTCTCTTCCTTGCATCCCCAACTATTCACTTGCCAGTCTACCTAACTCACTGTTGGAGGACCTGAGGAACTACCCATTAGGGAACCCCCTAGGAACCACATCTCCTGGAAGTTAGGGATGGAGGGAGTAGAACAGGAGGAGACCTTCTTCAGTGTATGGTTTCCCTGTCAGAATCAGCTGGGAGCCTCATTCTCATTTGGTCCAAAGCTACCCACCTCGACAGGAATCACCTACCCATAGGGCTGATTATTCACTAGTGCCTCTTCTTATTATGTAGGACTGCTGTTGGTGAACTTTTGGTATGTGATGGTGCCTTCAAGTCACCTGTTGGCTTGTGATGATCACACCATGGATTTCATAGGGTTCTATTATTTATTTATTTATTTATTTATTTATTTATTTATTGTATTTGTATACCGCCTTTCTCAGCCAATTGGCGACTCAAGGCGGTTTCCAACAAATCAGTATACATAAAACATAATATAGATAAAAAACCATTAAACAGCATAAGACATCACAAAAGCAATAAATACAACATCATCAGCATCTCATTATTCTCAAGCATTGTCTAATTCCATTGTCAGGTCATTCAATTTCCTATATTAGCTACTCTGTATTTGTAAACGCTTGCTCAAATAGCCATGTTTTAATTTGCCTCCGAAACATCAAGAGGGAGGGAGCAGATCTGATCTCCCTAGGGAGGGCGTTCTATAGCCAAGGGGCCACCACTGAGAAGGCGTTGTCTCTCGTCCCTGCCAAACGTCCTTGTGACAAAGGCGGGACCGAGAGCAGGGCCTCCCCAGATGATCTTAAAGTCCTCAGTGGTTCGTAAGGGGAGATATGTTTGGACAGGTAAGTTGTGCCAGAACCAACTTAGGCTAGGAGTGTTCAGAGTTAGTTTTGCTAGTTTCTTCCTCTGAAATATAATCTACAGAACTTGGTATACCACCAACAATTTTCCATCCAAGTACTAACCAGGGCGGACTCTCCTTAATTTCCAAGATCAGAAAGGTAATTCACACATTCTTAACACAGATGCACACAAGTGTGATTGTGTATGAGTTATGTAAAGGAGCAATATATGATACTAGGTGCAGAATTAAGTATCCTATGGACATCCACACTCATGCTTTGTTTTTGTAAAAGCAAGCTTCTAAGCTCTCACAATTCCCATGATGATCTCTGATTCTACAACGCTTGTGGAAATCAAAGCCTTAGATTGAATGTAATTTCCCATAGTTGGGACAAAGGCTCCAGTGCTTTGCACAGTTGCTTGTCCATTACTAGCAAATGAGAAGAGATGAAGCAATGTAATTGGAACAAGCAAGCCAATAAGATACCATGCAAATCTGTTCATTTTGTATAATTTATATGCAAGACAGCAATCCAGCAAAAATCAAATCACATCTGATAGTTCACCCAACACATATATTTACACTTAAATTGAAATCTCCCCTTATTGTTATATTGCTGTATGCAAATTTCATATGTACACACCAGGGATAGAATGCAATTCTGTATAAAAACCCATTAAAATTAAAATGGGCATAGAAATGCTTACCTAGCCTCTGGAGGCCAAACTGTCCAAACCCTTTGCCATGTACAAAACCCTGGTAGACAAATGTCCCACTGGATGACTCTGGACTGACCTGCAACCAGGAAAGACAAGGAAAGGTCACAATCAGATACCGTTTGCTGCATGAAGATTTTGTCATGTGAATTTGAGTATATGAACCAATCCATGTATCCATGGAAATATGTCCCTGAATTTATCACAGAAACAGGAAATTGTGGATAATAGTGAACCCTAATGAAATGAACAACACCTGCTGGAAGTTACTGTAGGGTCCAGCTGGAGGACCCTACACATTCCTAGAGAGTTATTTTTTAGGCCCTACAGTGAGGTTGTATGGCGAGCCCTGATTGGTTTTCAACCTGTGGGTTCCCAGTTGTTTTGGCCTTCAACTGCCAGAAATCTTAACAGCTGGCAAACTGGCTGGGATTTCTGGAAGTTGTAGGTCAAAACACCTGGGGACCCACAGATTGAGAACCACTACCATACAACCTCTTGGAGTATCTTAGAAAATCATTGAAAGGGTTTGTTTTGATGCAGGCAAGTTAAACCACAGGTCCAGTCCTCCTGGAAATGAGGAGTTCCATACTTTTCTTCCAAAAGTTCCCAACAAAAGGTAGAATAAAACAATATAAGTAGGCAAAAATACGGTCTTTTCTAATGACCATGATGAAGATGACCATCATGTTGTTGTTGTTGTTTATTCGTTCATTCGCATCCGACTCTTTGGGACCTCATGGACCAGCCCAGGCCAGAGCTCCCTGTTGGCTGTGGCCACCCCCAGCTCCTTCAAAGTCAAGCCAGTCACTTCAAGGATACCATCCATCCATTTTGCCCTTGGTCAAGGGCAATGACAATGGTAATAATAATAATAATAATAATAATAATAATATCATAACAATATCATATTTTCTACTGATTGATGTCATATGCCTTCAAGTAATTTCAGGCTTATGGAGATCCTATCTTGGATTTTTTTTCTTGGCAAGGATTGTACAGAGGTGTTTTGCCTTTTGCCTTTTGCTTCATGTGGGGAGAGATTGACTTGCTCAAAGCCACCCAGTAGCTTTCCATGGCTTTGGAGGGATTTGAACCCTGGTCTCCTAGATTCCTAGTCCAACATTCACTAAACCAAGACAGGCCTTAATCAGGGGTGGGGATCATGAAGCCCCCCAGGAGTTGTTGGACCTCAACTCCCAGTATTCCTTCCCATTATAGATGCTTCCAGGAATATGCAATCCAATAATATCCAGAAGGCTTTATGTTTCCCATTCCTGACTAAAGCAATGAGCCAATACCCCAACTAGCACCAGTACTTACATGTCCATCTAATGCCCATTTATCATTCTTAAATTTGTTCATGAAGATGTCCACTGGCCCTGTAATCTGGTACACCTGGAGAAGAAGATGAACATCTTCTCTTTTGTAAATACCTATAAAAAAGCAAAGGGGTGACTGGATTTTTACAGACTTATGCTATACTTGGTTAAGAAATAAGAAACAGAGAGAATTACACTAGTTTGAGAAAGCAGCAGTCCAGTAAGCTTAGGTTCTGGAGCTGTTCCATGGGTCAAACTAGATTTAGCATTTATTTTGAAGAAGCAAAAATTTCTGGTTGTCATACTATGTGCTTTTCGCAACATGCATGTTGTATACTTCTTTTTTTCATTGGTCATCTTTAAAAAGGAAAGCTGAAGATTAATTTGCTGTGGCACTCCTATTGCTAGGGAGGAAAATGTGTAAATCTCAGGTAAGCCTTCCTCTTGTTGTCTAGTGTTTCGTTTATTTAGTTGTCCATGTCTGTACATGGTGATTCTATATTATTATGAATGGAGAAAACAAAGAACTGCAAAAGGTTGCCTCTTTTTCAGTGAACTGGTGAAAAAGCAGATAAAAATGAATGCACTGATTATGTCACATTGAACAAAAGGGCAGAAAGAACGCAAACCCCACAATCTTAATCATGTTTAATAAGTTTCCACTGGCTGTAACTGTTCAGCAAGTGTTCCTGGGACCATTTGCTTAGCCTTGCCTTTTGGACACATGCCCAAATGGCAATGAAACTCTGATTATTCTCCTTTGAACATCACCATAAAAGCTACAGGGTGCAGCAGCACAACTTCCTTTTTCCAAAACTTAATAAAACCCATTGTATGAATTGAATTTTTTTTATAATGTAGGCACATACCTAAAGTTTTGTTTTACGTAGTTTTGAAGATCAAATTAGGTAGGTGACGTTCCCAATTCTCCATACATTGAATACACCGATTTCTGGCGTTTGCCATGACTCTTGCCAGCATAGCAGGCGTTATGTTGGCAATTTCTTCCTGGATGTTGGTCTTCAAATCTTGTAGTGTCCTTGGACGGTTCACATAAACACGGGATTTCAAAAAACCCCATAGAAAAAAATCACAAGAGGCCAAATCTGGAGAGCGGACTGGCCACTCCAAATCCCCCCTAATTGAGATGAGGCGCTCTGGGAAGTGTTCCCTCAAAACAGTCATCGATGTTCTTGAAGTGTGTGCAGTTGCACCATCTTGTTGGAACCAAATGTCCCCTAAGTCCAACCCATCTAGCTGTGGGGGAAAAAAATTCCTGTAACATGTTTACATACCGGTCCAAATTCACTGTCACTGCAACTTCATTTTCCTCAAAGAACCAGGGACCAATAATTCCAGCTGAGGAAATTGCACACTACACTGTGATTTTAGGTTAATGCAAAGGCCTTTGATGCAATTCTCGAGGATTGTTGTCAGCCCAGTAGCGCGTGTTTTGTTTGTTGACGGATCCACACAAATTTAAAAAAAAATACCGTCCTCAGGAACGACTTCAAGACATGCGTTCCTCTGAGAATTGAAGTCACATTCAGAAAGTTCCTGCACAATCATCATCTTGTAAGGATGGAAATGAAGATCATCATGAAGAATTCTCCTCACAGAACGATCGGAAAGTCCAAGGGCAGACGCATGTTTGCACGCAGAATGCCGTGGTGATCACAACATTGAAGCTCTCACTGCCTCAATGTTCTCAGGTGATCTAATGGGCCGAGGGACTCCAGTTCTTTGTCTTGTCACACTTGCAGTTTGTCTGAACCCACGTCACAATTGATTTCCGGTCCAGGACAGGGGCCAATGGGGCTTAATTAAAGTGTTTCCGAAAGGTGCGCTGGGTTGCGATTACAGAACATCCGCTTGAAAAGTAGGCCTCAACGGCAAAAGCATGCTCCTCACTGTTCCAACGCATGATGGCGACTGAACTGTTGTCAGGACAAAACTTTATACTCCTGCCTCTCGAACGAGACCACTACGTCTTCAACCGACTTTAAAAAAGGAAGTTATGCTGCCTCACCCCGTATAAGGAATCACTTCTTGTGTTTAACCATCCAATGACAAGGAGGTGGGCCTCCATTCAGAGTTTAGAAAGTTCTATTTAGATGCAGTGAATACAAGGACAGGTTGAAGCCAACAGTTGGATCATTCCATCATGGCTCATTTATGGATAGCCCCAGCATATTATTATTTTCAGAAGTAACTTTCCAAGCTCCGCATCCATCAAGTTACAAATTCTAGATGTCATGAAAATGCAGTAAAGTGTTTGTTGTCCAATATGATTGTGGCATTTGTATGGTTAGATATGGGAAGAGCTGATTGAAATATTTTCTGTTCTATCTGTCAAATAACCTAGCTAGATTTAGGTTCTACAATGGAGGTTGGTAGTTTCCAGATCAATGGTGAAGGTTAATCTCCTCCTCTGAACTTCAAAGCTTCAAATCATATCACTCAAATCGTTTCAGTACTTTGAATCATAGAATCATAGAGTTGGAAGAGACCTCATGGGCTATCCAGACCAACCCTCTGCCAAGAAGCAGGAAAATTGCATTCAAAGCACCCCCGACAGATGGCCATCCAGCCTCTGTTTAAAAGCTTCCAAAGAAGGAGCCTCTACAACACTCTGGGCAGAGAGTTCCACTGCTGAACAGCTCTCACAGTCAGGAAGTTCTTCCTAATGTTCAGATGGAATTTCCTTTCTTGTAGTTTGAAGGCATTGCTCCTCATCCTAGTCTCCAGGGCAGCAGAAAACAAGCTTGCTCCCTCCTCCCTGTGGCTTCCTCTCACATATTTGTACATGGCTATCATGTCTCCTCTTAGCCTTCTCTTCTTCAGTCTAAACATGCCCAGCTCTTTAAGCCGCTCCTCATAGGGCTTGTTCTCCAGACCCTTGATAATTTTAGTCGCCCTCCTCTGGACACATTCCTGCTTGTCAACATCTCTCTTCAATTATGGAGCCCAGAATTGGACACAATATTCCATTAGCTTATTTAATATCTGGAATTCTGGAATGAACTCAGAGAGGACCCTCTGTGGATACCCAATTCTGTGGATGATCAAGTTCCGTGATATACAGTGGCTTGGTAAAATAGTGCCCCTTATATAAAAGTGCTCTTTGTAGGTTTTTTAGGGGTAATATTTCTAACCCAAGGATGGTCGAATCCATGGGTACAAAGGGTCAAATGCACTCTGCATCTGGACTTGGGTGGTTGACACTGCCACTATTTTCTTAATCTCAGCAGCCAAATGTCTTGAGCCAGTTGTACTATCCATGTTTCCAAGATAAAGGTGATGGCAATACACATTGGGGTTGGTGTAAAGTACCTCTCGTGTCTAATTACATTCTTCCCCTAAATTAATTAGGTGTCCCAGAGCAGGAGGTGCCAGGACATCTTACCAGATACTTGCAACTCCACACCACTGTGGTCTACGAGGGTGGCGTTGACTTTACTAGTGATTGGGTCAAAGCTGGTGACAGACAGCATGGCTGGCTGCTTCTTCCCCATGTACTCATAAGAGCCTTTCCAGAAGGAATTTTTTGCAAAGACATCCGGCGGAACTAGAAACAAGACACAAAATGGGAGGAAAAAAATTGGTAAGATGTGGGTCAGAAGCTCAAAGTATGGCTCTGGATAGAGGTTGGTTTTGTCTTTTACTTTACTCTGTGTGTTTTCATTTTCATTTACGTGGGCCTGCCATTAATTAAAAAATATACTGATTAATGGGATGTGTTTTCTGCTGTGAAGTTACTAATCATTCAACCAATGCGTAAATTTGCAGGCATGGAAACACCATCAGGGTTTCTAGGTGAGCCATATGGACTACATAACTGTTTGCTGTTAGTGTTAATGTTATTAATTTGATGCTAATAAAATTAATTAAAAAGGACTACCTGGCACTTTTGGAAGAGGTGGGTCTCTCGCAGTGCCCACTGGCCTCCCACTCGGTCGTATATCCGCTGAAAAAGACAAGCAAAGGACCACGGATCATTCAACGCCCAAGTGGTACAATATGCAGATATATCATATGGGTGAGAGTATGTAAGTAGCTAATGAAAGTCAAGCCTACAAGGGTGGGATGGAGACAATATATTTCATCTTCAAAGGGGCTATCCAAGGTACTGAATCTATCTCCTAAATAGGTTCCGAATCTTGGATAGTGACACTGAAGTTCAACCTAAATTATGAAGTAGATTCCTGATTGAGAAAGCCAGAATATTATCAGAGTAGAGATGACTCTGAAGAGCAGGGTTGGTCCCTGTTCAGCCATTGAAATTCACTGGGTGATCCTGGGTGAGTCACACACTCTCAGCCTCAGAAAATCCCATGAATATTATTATTATTTATTTATTTATTATTAACTTTATTTGTACCCTGCTAACATCTCCCGAAGGACTCGATGCGGCTTACAAAGCCCAAGGCCTCAATAAAACAACAATATAACAAATACACATAAACCAAAAGCAAATCAAAACCTTAAGCAATAACAGTAAGCAATAAAAAACAGTACACCGTAACACAATAAAAACTAGGCCGGGCCAAATGTGATGGGTACAGATTAAAAAGTGCTGAGTATGCTGAGTGAGATATAAGGATTTTTGGATAGGTGCAATGTGCGGACAATCTTAATCTCTATGAGCCGCAGCAAACTACTGGAAGCGAGAGCGAGCTTGTGCTCGGTCTTGCTCCGAAGCCCCACCTTTTTTCCCCCGAGGCTGCTCTCTCTCTTGCTAGTGTGCCTGTTTTCCCTTGCTAGGGAAGCGATGCGAGTGTACTCTCGCAGTTGGCAGAATTAAACTGTGAGCGTATGCTCGCATCCCTGCCCTCTGCAATGGAAAACAGGCACACTAGCAAGAGAGAGAGCAGCCTCAGGGGGAAAAAAGGTGGGGCTTCGGAGCAAGCCCGAGCACAAGCTCGCTTTCGCTTCCTGTAGTTTGCTGCGGCACGAGCGTACGCTCGCAACGCTGCCCTAGCAAAGGGAAATAGGTGGAGAAAGAGGCGGAGCATCACTCGTCTGGCACAGTTTGCTCTCGCAAAACCCTAGTTTGCTACGGCTCTAATAAAGTGCTTCTGGGACGTATTGCTGAAGTTTCCTATTCTGGAAAGGTACACTGGAATAGAGAGGTCTTCAAGCTCTTCCTAAAGACTGCCAGCGTAGGGGCTTGTCTGATGTCCTTGGGGAGGGTGTTCCAGAGTCTGGGAGCTACCACAGAGAAGGCCTTGTCTCTCGTCCCCACCAACTACGCTTGCGACGCAGGTGGGATCGTGAGCAGGGCCTCTCTGGATGAACGAAAGGAGTGTGCGGGTTCATAAACGGAGATGCGGGTTCATAAACGAAGAATAGTTTGCTTTAGGGCAGTGGTTTCCAGCCTTTGGGCCTCCAAGTGTTTTGGACTTCAGCTTCCAAAGTTCTTAACAGCTAGTAAACTGGGTGGAATTTTTGGGAGTTAAAGTTGAAGTCCAAAACACCATTACTTTAGGGGCTCCATAATCGGAAATCACCTGAAGGCACACAGCAGCAGTAACAAGATTCATGACTCCACTAACATGAAAGATATAATTTGCTACTGTTTAGGGCTGCTGCTCACTAGGCACTATGCAACTATTGTGCTTTTTTTTCATTTAACCATTTGCTATGTTAAAGTAATGGAGAAAATGGGATGGCTTTGAGTATAAGATATCAGCTATAGGATCTTTGTTGAGTGCCGTGGAAGGAGAAAGGACATAGATTGGTGTAAGGAAGCCCTGAAAGGACATTTATTTATTTATTTACAGTATTTATTTTCTGCCCTTCTCACCCCAAAGGGGACTTAAGGTGGATTACAGAACACATACATGGCAAACATTCAATGCCGATATACAGGATAGACTGATAGAGGTATGTGTCTCAGCATTTTCCCACTTTTGCCATCCTGGAGGTTATGCTCGATTCTGGCCACACGGGGTTGCTGTCGCTCCATCCTCTATGACAACAAGCCTTTTTGATCACAGACTTTCCTCCTGTTTTTTGATGGCCAGCTTTTTATGGTGCCATAAAATACCTCCATGCAGTCATGCCAACCACATGACCGTGGAGGTATCTATGGTCAATGCCGGGTCTTCGACTTAGAAATGGAGATGAGCCCCACACCCCAGAGTCAGACATGACTGGACTTAATGTCAGGGGACAACCTTTACCTTAAAATACCTCCACACTTAAGTGGTGCCTAATTTCTCTAATCTCACCTACAGTTGTTTTCACACTGCTTAAGTGGACAGTAAGCTGGGCTGAAAGTCGGGTGTTCACCCCAACCTGGGCTTGAACTCCCAACCTTTCGGTTGGGAAAGAGTTATTGCTGCTGGTGATTAACCAGCCGTGCTAAAGCCCGCCCATAGACATATATAAGGGAAATTTTATATATAACACTAGCAGGATACCAGCTGCACTGTGTGTTCTAAGAGTGTTGCTCAGTAAAGGATTTTGAGACAGGCTCTAGGAAGTTAATTCTTTCCGCAGTGCATAATTAAATTATGTCACAAGATGTGGCAACAGCAACAAGCTTAACTAGTGGAGTTTTAAAGGGATTAAAGGAATTCATAGAGCATGGGTCTATAAGGATTTTAAAACTGGGGGAGTCTCATATGCATGCTATTAACCATGGAAACTGCTAGACAGAACTTCCATGTATTCTTCTCATTTTGCACCGAAATTGTGTATGTGTGTGAAAAATGTGATCTTTTGTGCAAAAACAAAATGTGTGTGGAATAATTTTACATGACACTTCGGGATATGCAAATACCAGGTGAAAACCACATGGAAAGATTTATTTTCTCACTGCTGGGGATTAAACTATGGAAATGATTCAACTTCACGTGCAAGAATGTAACAATCAAAGATTTCTACCCCTAGAAGACATTTGTCCTAAACAACAATGGAGGTTGTAGGTTTTTTCGGGCTATATGGCCATGTTCTAGAGTAGGGGTCCTCAAACTAAGGCTCAAGGGCATGCGGCCCTTCAAGGTAATTTATCTGGCCCTCGCTCAGGGTCAACCTAAGTCTGAAATGACTTGAATGCACACAACAGCAGCAACAACAATCCTATCCCATCAGCCAAGAGGAGGCCCACACTTCCCATTGAAATACGATTAAGTTTATATTTGTTAAAATTGTTCTTCATTTCAATTATTGTATTGTTTTTAAGTGTTTTTTGCACTACAAATAAGATATGTGCAGTGTACATAGGAATTCATTCATGGTTTTTGTTTTCAAATTATAATCCGGCCCTCCAACAGTGTTGAGGGACTGTGACTTGACCCTCTGTTTTAAAGGTTTGAGGACCCCTGTTCTAGAGGCATTCTCTCCTGATGTTTCGCCTACATCTATGGCAAGCATCCTCAGAGGTAGTGAGTGCTTGCCATAGATGCAGGCAAAACGTCAGGAGAGAATGCCTCTAGAACATGGCCATAAAGCCCGAAAAAACCTACAACAACCCAGTGATTCCGGCCATGAAAGCCTTCGACAATACATTGAACAATTAAGGTATTTTTCCTTCTCATTGTGCCAACAATTTGTTGGCCATTGCTAGGGAAATATAACTAGTAGGATTGCAAAGGGCACCTGGCTTTCAAAAGGCAAGCTTTCATCAGACCCTGTTCCAAGACACTTACCTAGGCAAATAGGAGGCTTGCCAGTCCAGCTGCCATCAGATTTACAAGTCCTGTGTTCTGATCCTCCAGTGAGATAAAAGCCACTTTGGCAAGAGTAGATCAAGGTGTAGCCAAGGGAAGGCAAGTCTAGGGCACCCACGTTGGCATGGGCTGGGGTATCTGGCTCTTTGCAGTTGTGAGCTGGAAAGATATGCAAGAGAACAAGCTGGAAAAAGCATGCCTGTCTTATGTTCTGAGTTCCACATCTCAGAATTTCATTAGATGTTGAAAACTAACATTCATCACTGTTTATAAATTGTGAACTGGGTGGTGGTCTTCAACAGATGAAAGAAGCACAGCCTTCTAGCTGATGGTATCTAGCTTCCCTTACAGCAAATTTGAGAACTGGACCTCTGAATGAATACATTTGGTCCAGGGTATTTAAGAATCAGTGTTTCAGATCCATGAGACTGGATCCCAGATTCCCTGGATTGAGATGTTCCTGTGCCTCGAGGGCATGGCAACTGGAAAACTGACAAAGGGAATTGGACATGACCCATCTTTTGTCTTAACAAGAACAGTATATAGAAGTTGTTCAAATGAGAGTTCACTCCCCACATTTGTTCCCAGTCTTGAAATGCCCAAGATAAAAGATCTAGACAGGCCTCCTAAACACAACACTTTACACCACTACACAGCGGCTAATAGTTGCTGCAGTGCTGATACTCTAGAACCCATTTATCTGGTGATAGGGGTTGTGTTCATTTCATAGAATCATAGAATTATAGAGTTGGAAGAGACCTCATGGGCCATCCAGTCCAACCCCCAGACAAGAAGCAGGAATATTGCATTCAAATCACCCTTGACAGATGGCCATCCAGCCTCTGCTTAAAAGCTTCCAAAGAAGGACCCTCCACCACACTCTGGGGCAGAGAGTTCCACTGCTGAACGGCTCTCACAGTCAGGAAGTTCTTCCTCATGTTCAGATGAAATCTCCTTTCTTGTAGTTTGAAGCCATTGCTCCGCGTCCTAGTCTCCAAGGAAGCAGAAAACAAGCTTGCTCCCTCCTCCCTGTGGCTTCCTCTCACATATTTATACATGGCTATCATATCTCCTCTCAGCCTTCTCTTCTTCAGGCTAAACATGCCCAGCTCCTTAAGCCTTTTCTCTATATATCTTTATCTATATCTATATCTTTATTTTTTTTGTCATGTCAGGAACAACTTGAGAAACTGCAAGTCGCTTCTGGTGTGAGAGAATTGGCCGTCTGCAAGGACATTGCCCAGGGGATGTGGGAGGCTTCTCTCATGTCCCCGCATGAGGAGCTGGAGCTGATAGTGGGAGCTCATCCGCCTCTCCCCGGATTCGAACCTGCGACCTGTTGGTCTTCAGTCCTGCCAGCACAGGGGTTTAACCCACTGCGCCACCGGGGGCTCTATATCTTTATTTATAACCACGAACACAACTTTTGAAATCTTTGTACAATATCTGTGCTGGCTTCACCTTCTTCTACCCATTTCCTATATGTTGCCCATTTCTCTTTAATTTCTTCTGTTTTGTCCTCCTGTGAATCTTCTTGTGTTATGCATTCAATAATATCTGATTGGACTTGTTCAAATAAATAATTATTCCAATTTTCCAAATTCCAATTTTTTTTCATCTCTCCACCCCTAGGCTATTACCGCCTTTCCTGCTTAAATCATTGCTTTAAATAAGTCTTGGTTCTTCGCAGCAATGTTTTTATTCCCTGTAATTGCCATTAACATAAATTCCATATTGACTTATTTATTTATTTACAGTTCTTATATTCCGCCCTTCTCACCCCGCAGGGGACTCACGGCGGATTACAGTCAATACATATATGGCAAACATTCAATGCCAGTTTGACAAACAACATTTAACAAACAAATACACCGAGGCAATTTATCTTTTTTCTGGCCGCCAGGGGAGCTGCTGCTTTCCATCGTCCATCAGCGACACCGATGAAGTTCTTCCGCATTCCACATTCCCTGGAGTCTTTTTTCTTTATGGCCTCATAAATTAGTTAAATTTAGCCTCCCACACAAGGTGGTACCTTATTTTCCTACTTGACAGATGCAACTGTCTTTCGGGTTGCAAAGGTCGACAACGGGCTACACAATGGCTGGACACCCACTCCAGCCCGGGCTGGCTTCGAACTCGTGATCTTTTGGTCAGAGTGATCTTAATGCAGCTGACACTCAGCCAGCTGCGCCACAATCCCGGTGCTTTTTGAATAGTTTCCCAATTTTTCTAATGATCTTCTCCAAAAAGTTTTTGCATTTAAATCTTGTTTCATTTTACATCCCATTCCCAAGTAATTTTTGTCCAGCCTATATTGCAAAAGTCTCTTGAGCCATTTTGCTTAATAAAATAAAAATAAAATCAAGGCACAAGACTCACGGATGCAGTCTGGTTGCACTCCGCTCCATGTCAGATTTGGAAGGCACGTTCTTGTGGTGGATCCTTGCAAAAGGTAACCTTTGTGACATTTGAAAAAGACAACGCCCCCAATCTGTTTTAAAGAGAAAACAGGCATTATTTGTGTCAGATGGTTTTACGATCCATTTGCCTGTTCGGCTTTAACCACATCTATCCATCAGATATCAAAGTGGCAAGCAAGAGTGCCATTGCTAAATACTTTCTAATCCAACCAAATGTTAGCCAGCTCTCCCATAAAAATTCTGCCCATTGTTCCAGCTTCATGATTACATTACAACTTTGCAAATGAACAGAGGTTGTTTGAGTTCCATATTCTGCAGTTTGGGATTAACAGGGGAAATCGGAATTAATACACTGAAACCCAGGATTAAGGGTGACAAATTAGAAGCTTTGCAGGAGGGAAGGGAGAAATCTACTTTGGATCAAATGCCCCCAAAATGTATTATTAATATCTACTTGTGAGTCATCTTGGTGAATAAGATGCTTTACGGGGTGGGGGGGGGGGGAAACGACATCACATGCAAATGGCTTCATGGGATTAACTGAGAGACACACAGGAAATTTACAAGAGGATTTAGTTACCCTGTTCCTCTGAAAACTGGTTGAAATTGATCAGAGTACATGGATCAATAGTAAGAGTTTGTTGTTACCCAAGTTTTGCATATTTCTGTGAGCAAACTATTTTCAAACAAAGTATCCTGTTCAACACAGATACATAGGATAGAGTAGGCATGGGCAAACTTTTTAATTTGGGGGCCGTATGGTGGGCAGGAGTGGTGTAGGTGGGCAAAGAGGGAGAGGGTTCCCCCCAAGCCCCCTGCCTGCCCTTTCCTCCCCTTCCTCTTCTCTTTCGGAGACATGGGAAATGTTTGGATCCCAAAAGGGTTGGCCTTGGTCAGGATGAGATGGTGGATGGGGAAAAAAAAGTGTATTCATGAGACCCCATATTGCTTCTGATATAGAATCCTAGAGCTGGAAGAAACCACCAAGGGCAATCCAGTCCAACCCCCCTGCCATGCAGGAAGGTACAATAATAATAATAATAATAATAATAATAATAATAATAATAATAATCAATAGGGCTGGGCGGTTTCGTTCGTTAATTTCGTAATTCGTTATTAATTCGTTATTTTTTTGATAACGAAGTGATATTGAACCATTTAGGAGCAACTAAAAAACGAAACGAATTTTTCCAATTCGTTTTGTAATTGTTTCGTAATTGTTTCGTAATCGTTTCGAAATCGTTTTGTTATTATTTCCGCATGTCTGGTGCAAGTTTTAGGGTTGCTGTTTGTTTTATCAGTGAAAAAAAATATAATTATCACACCAACAGTCAACAACAGAGGGAGAGGTTTTTTTTAGCGTATTGTGCGATCGCGCCCGCCATTAACGAATCGATTCGTAATTGTTTCGTAATTGTTTCGTAATTTCGTAAATTTCGAACTTTTTTTAAGGAAAATTTTGGAATTCTTTTAAAAATCGAAATGCAAAACCCCCCTAAAAACGAATCGAGTTTAGAAACAAATTTTTCCGTGGTTGCCCAGCCCTAATAATCATCTTTATTTCTACCCTGCCACCATCTCCCCGATGGGGACTCGGAGCGGCTTACATGGGGCCAAACCCGGACAACATAATACAGCAATAAAATCAAAACATATACAGCAAACAGCAACAACATCATCAAAATAACATTAGAAGAGAGAGAAAAAAATCTTAAGATAAACATTCCAATAAACACAATCACAGTAAGGATGACAATGGGCAGGCCACATATTCAGGATAAAAACAGTTAACAAACTATAATGAGATAAAATAGGAGCAGAGCATTTATATGGAACTCATAAAACACACAGAGTTGTGAGGCCAAACATCGTATTTGAAGGGCACAAACTCCATTAACAGAAAACGTTGAGGGGTGCAAAATATCATGCTGTGCACCTACTCACCAAAGGCGCAGCAAAAAGCCAGGTTTTGAGGTTCTTTTTAAACGTTTCTAGTGAAGGAGTTTTTCTGATCTCCCCAGGTAAGGAATTCCAAAGTCGGGGGGCCACAGAAGAGAAGGCTCTCTCCCTTGTGCCCACAAGACGAGCTTGTGAGATTGGTAAAAGTGAAAGGAGGACCTCCCCCGAGGAACGAAGGGCCCAGGTTGGTACGTGGAGATAGATATAGTCACGAAGGTAGGTGGGTCCCAAACCGTTTAGGGCTTTGTAGGTGATAACCTGTACCTTGAATTGGGACCGGAAAATAAATGGCAGCCAGTGGAGCTCCTTAAACAGGGGGGTTGATCGCTCCCTGTAGGATGCCCCAGTTATCAATCTGGCTGCCGTGTGTTGCACCAATTGTAGTTTCCGGGCCGTCTTCAAGGGTAACCCCACATAGAGAGCATTTCAGTAGTCCAGTCTACACTCCCAATAGACAGCCTCTGTGGAAAAGCCTCCAGAGAAGGAGACTCCACCACACTTCCAGACAGCCTATGCCACTCTCCAACAGCTCTTACCACTTTACCACATTATTTAAACTCCACTGAATTCTACACTTAAAATCTGGGACTCCGCTGGGGTCACTACGGTAGTTTGCATCCAAGTATAGTTTTTCAGTCATTTAAATGTAGGGGCAACAGTCTTTTTTAATGTATCAGGAAGAATTGAGAAAATTGATTTTTCTCAAATCTCCGTATTTATTTATTTATTTTTTTGCAAGATTTCTAATGAATCATAGAATCATAGAATCATAGAATCAAAGAGTTGGAAGAGACCTCATGGGCCATCCAGTCCAACCCCCTGCCAAGAAGCAGGAATATTGCATTCAAATCACCCCTGACAGGTGGCCATCCAGCCTCTGCTTAAAAGCTTCCAAAGAAGGAGCCTCCACCACACTCCGGGGCAGAGAGTTCCACTGCTGAACGGCTCTCACAGTCAGGAAGTTCTTCCTCATGTTCAGATGGAATCTCCTCTCTGTAGTTTGAAGCCATTGTTCCGCATCCTAGTCTCCAAGGAAGCAGAAAACAAGCTTGCTCCCTCCTCCCTGTGGCTTCCTCTCACATATTTATACATGGCTATCATATCTCCTCTCAGCCTTCTCTTCTTCAGGCTAAACATGCCCAGTTCCCTAAGCCGCTCCTCATAGGGCTTGTTCTCCAGAACCTTGATCATTTTAATCGCCCTCCTCTGGACACATTCCAGCTTGTCAATATCTCTCTTGAATTGTGGTGCCCAGAATTGGACACAATATTCCAGGTGTGGTCTAACCAAAGCAGAATAGAGGGGTAGCATTACTTCCTTAGATCTAGACACTATGCTCCTATTGATGCAGGCCAAAATCCCATTGGCTTTTTTGCCACATCACATTGTTGGCTCATGTTTAACTTGTTGTCCACGAGGACTCCAAGACTTTTTCACACATACTGCTGTCGAGCCAGCTGTCCCCCATTCTGTATCTTTGCATTTCATTTTTTCTGCCTAAGTGGAGTATCTTGCATTTGTCACTGTTGAACTTCATTTTGTTAGTTTTGGCCCATCTCTCTAATCTGTCAAGATCGTTTTGAATCCTTGCTCCTGTCCTCTGGAGTATTGGCTATCCCTCCCAATTTGGTGTCATCTGCAAACTGAAGTAGGATTTGTTGCTCCCAGTTGAAAATGTGGAAGTTGTGGGAGGAGCTACCATTTTCTAGGTCTTTGCCAAAACAATTTCTTTTCTTTTTTTAAAGCCTTCGAAATAAGCTCCACTGAGTTCACACTAGTGCCTTTCAGGGCTGTCTGTCCATGTTCCAGAAGCATTATTGCCTGATGTTTCACTCTGTTGTAATTTGTTGTTTGGGTTTGGCCTCATGTAAGCCGCTCCGAGTCCCCATCGGGGGAGATGATGGTGGGGTATAAATAAAGATTATTATTATTATTATTATTATTATTATTATTATTATTATTATTATATCAGTGGTAGGCATCCTCTGTGGGAAGTGAGAATGCAGGAATTGGTACTTTGATTAGCATTGAATAGCCTTGCAGCTTCAAAGCCTGACTGCCATTTTGCAATGATGCAAGTCTCCAGAACTTTGGGATTCAGGAGATGGATTATATGGCAGTGTAGATAGGGCCCCCACTTATCAGAGGCGTGGGAATAATGCAATTGGCGACCTTGATTAGCATTGGATAGCCTTGTAGCTTCAAAGCCACACTGCCATTATGCAATAATGCAAGTATCCCCTAGTAATTTGTTTGTACATGATTATGGAAGTGTTATACCTTTGTTCCCAGAACACATACAGCTACCATATATTCCGGCATATAAGACGACTGGGCGTATAAGACGACCCCCAACTTTTCCAATTAAAATATAGAGTTTGGGATATACTCACTGTATAAGACTACCCTTCCTCCAATGCACACCAAATAAAATTTTTAAAAGCATCAGATTTGATTTCAATATGGTAATTTCCTATTACTGTACCTCCTTCTCTGCCTCTCAGATCTCGCACCTGCATCGCTTCACTGCAGTCTTCAGGAGTGAGATCTGAGAGGCAGAGGAGGAAGTACGGTAATAGGATACAAGGGCGGGCCAGACAGGTAAAGGAGGTGTGTTTTTCTGGTCCCAGAGCCACTCTATCTCTTTTTTTCCATAACCCGGGTATCCTGGACGCCTGCAGCTTACTCCGCCCTTCACTTACACCTTCCCGGTGAGGTGCCTCTTCACCTCACTATCAGGACGGCATTAAGTCCACAAATCCTGATGAATGTATTTTCTTCTACCGTACTTGTACAGCGTTGCCCTTAATGCTTTCATACAGTCGCTGCATACGGCAGGGACATGGCCACTGCCATTTTTGAGCTCCCCCCACAATATGCAGCAACCGCAGATTCTCCAATCTGCATTGGAAGTTTCCGCTCTATAAGACAACACCCAGTGTATAAGACTACTCCTGCATATAAGACGACCCCCACGCATAAGGCTACTCCAGCGTATAAGACGACCCCCATGTATAAGACGACTCCCGTGTATAAGACTACCCCCGTGTATAAGATAGCTGCTGATTTTTGAGAAGGTTTTCTTGGGTTAAAAAGTAGTCTTATACACCAGAATATATGGTAAGTTGCAGAGTTTGTCCCCCTTCCCCCATGCTAGAAATGACACTGAAATACCTAATCTTTCTCCCTCCCTCCCTCTTCTCTTCTCAGAAACCTCCCAAAGGGACACACTGAGGTTTCTTTAAGAAAAAAAAACACTGAGGGATGGTGGACAGGGCCTAATGCCTCCAGAAAAAGCTGAGTTCAAGGGAAAAGTAAATCCATGTTGTAACAGGTAGGGAATACACCCGTTGTGGTTTTTTTAACTAAATGGAGTCAGACACAACTCTCCACTTTCAAAAACTTCCCAGCTTAATGTGATGAAGTCCTTACTCTGAGGAAGTTCTTCCTAACCTTTTCAGTTGAATCTCTTTCCCTGCCATTTGAACTCATTGCTCCCTCGTACCCTGGTCTCTAGAGCACACGAAAGTCAGTTTCCCCTCCCTCCTCAATGGAACACCCTTTGAAATCTTGGAACATGGTTCTCATGTTCCTTCTCTACCTTCTCTTCTCCCAGCTAAAAATCCCCCAGGAGGAAAGGAGGAAGGAAAAAGAGAAGGAAGGGAGGGAGGAAGAGAATATTGTGTCCAATTCTGGGAACCACAATTCAAGAGAGATATTGACAAGCTGGAATGTGTCCAGAGGAGGGCAACTAAAATGATCAAGGGTCTGGAGAACAAGCCCTATGAGGAGCGGCTTAAGGAGCTGGGCATGTTTAGCCTGAAGAAGAGAAGGCTGAGAGGAGATATGATAGCTATGTATAAATATGTGAGAGGAAGCCACAGGGAGGAGGGAGCAAGCTTGTTTTCTGCTTCCCTGGAGACTAGGACGCGGAACAATGGCTTCAAACTACAAGAAAGGAGATTCCATCTGAATATTAGGAAGAACTTCCTGACTGTGAGAGCTGTTCAGCAGTGGAACTCTCTGCCCCAGAGTGTGGTAGAGGCTCCTTCTTTGGAAGCTTTGAAACAGAGGCTGGATGGCCATCTGTCAGGGGTGATTTGAATGCAATATTCCTGCTTCTTGGCAGAATGCGGTTGGACTGGATGGCCCATGAGGTCTCTTCCAACTCTATGATTCTATGAGAAGGATGGAAAGAAGGAAGGGTGGAAGGGAAGGGAGGGAGGGAAGACAAAAGGGAAGGAAGGAAGGAAGGAAGGAAGGAAGGAAGGAAGGAAGGAAGGAAGAGAGGGAGGGAGGGAGGGGGAGAGAGGGGGGAAGGGGAGGAAAGAGAGAAGGAAGGAAGGACAAAAGGGTGGAAGGAAGGAGGGAGAGAGAAAGAGGGAGGTAAGGAAGGAAGTGAGGGATGGAGGAAGGAAAGAGAGAAGGAAGGAAGGAAGGAAGGAAGGAAGGAAGGAAGGAAGGAAGGAAGGAAGGATAGGATGGTGAGAGAGAGGAGAGCCAGAGTAAAGAGCCCAAGGGGCCACATCCGGCCCCTGGGCCTGGGTTTGTCCATACCTGGGATAGAGTTTATGCTGGCATGCAGACCAGTGGGGTTTGAGTGTTTTGAGTACAACTATGGAGGCCTGGGTGAAAATCAGTTATGGAAATCTACTGACTAATTCTGAGTCCTACATTCTCAGCCCTAGAAAACCCCATGATAGGTTCACCTGAGGGCTGCCATAAATCAGAAAGCAGAGAAGAACATCAATTTGTACCATGAATGTAGTACAAAAACTGGCTGTGGAAGAATATCAAAAACATTCTGTGTTTGGAAAGACTTCAATTGAAATTAGTTCACAAACAGAGAACATTAGATGGGTAGATTTATATATGGAACAGGTAAGGGAAATAATCAGCAGAGAAGAGGAAACAAAAAGAAAAAGAGAGAGAAGATGACAGCACATTACCTGATAACCTTGGGAATTGTTTTGTGTTCCAAAAAGGGGTACACCAGGATCCACACATGTGGTAAGAGTTGAGTCTGTAATACAGGAATATGCAAATATAACCATAATTTAATATACAATGTTAAACCCATGTTGCAGCTAAGCCTTGAGTCCACCCAGTGAGTTGTTGATTTCTGGGAGGAGTTTTTGGGATCACAGTTCATACTTTGGGCAACAAACAGAAGAACTTGAATTGGAAACATATGGATTGACAACATTAAACATAAAATGGAATACTTAGGATGCCATCAGTCAGACTTAGCAGCCAGTGTGGTGTAGTACTGAACTACAATTCTGAAAAACAGATCCCTGCTTGGCCATTAAAACCTGCCGGGTCACCTTGAGCAAGTTGTACACACTTACCCTCTGAAAACCCCACAAGTCAGGAATGACTTGAAGGAATGCAACAAAAAGTAATTACAATATGGCATTGTAATTACTGAAGGGTTTTTTCCATTAAAAACTTAACTTTTTGCACAAGAGCAAGTGATTTTTGTACAGACTTTTTTTTTGTGCAAAAAAATGTATTAAAGTACAATCTCCCCATACCTAAAAATATGCAAAAACTCTAGTCAGCATGACTTCTGGACACACAGAAGACTGGACGACTTGTAAAGTGATGATCAGACTACACCATGAGATGCAGAACCAACCTTAAGAAATGGGTCTACAAAGTGGAGTCCATGACATGCGAGTGTGGAGAAGAACAAACCATAAACCACCTACTACAATGTGGTCTGAGCCCTGCCACATGCACAATGGAGGGCCTTCTCACAGTGACACCAGAGAAATGCCAAGTGGCTAGTTTCTGGTTAAAGTAAATTTAGTATAATGCCAAGTTTTTGACTTTTGTTGGTGATTTTTCTATACATTATAAACGTATTCTCAATTTGAGCCCTGGTGGCGCAGTGGGTTAAACCCTTGTGCCAGCAGGACTGATGACCGAAAGGTCAGTGGTTCGAATCCCGGAAGCAAAGTGAGCTCCCATTTCATGTGGGGACATGAGAGAAAGCCATACCATGGTAAAACATCTGGGTGTCCCCTGGGCAACGTCCTTGCAGATGGACAATTCTCTCACACCAGAAGCGACTTGCAGTTTTTGTTTTTCTTTTTTAAATATTCAAAGGCAACCCCACGTAGAGAGTGTTGCAGTAGTCTAACATTCTAACTAATTTTTTTTGTCGTGTCAGAAGCGACCTGAGAAACTGCAAGTCGCTTCTGGTGTGAGAAAATTGGCCGTCTGCAAGGACGTTGCCCAGGGGACACCTGGATGATTTTTTGATGTTTTATCATTCCTGTGGGAGGCTTCTCTCATGTCCCCGCATGAGGAGCTGGAGCTGATAGAGGGAGCTCATCCGCCTCTCCCTGGATTTGAACCTGCGACCTGTCAGTCTTCAGTCCTGCCGACACAGGGGTTTAACCCATTGCGCCACCAGGGGCTCCTCTAACCATATTGAGATAAGAGGAAGCTAGATACATGGAAAGTGTGAGAACATTGCAGTTTTTTAAGTCGCTCCCGACACACACACACACACACACAAAAATTAGTTTCTGACATAAATAAATAAATCTCAACCAACAATGAAACAGTGGTTTAAGGTATTCAGTCTTGAATGTCATGTCTGTGTGTGTGCATGGGGAAATGAAATAAATGAGGATTTACACCCCTCATAGTTGTGGACTGTCCTCCCACTGCCTTGTGGGTCTCTTCCCCTGGCCTTCCCCTTACCTATGCAGCTTGGCTGGGTTCCGCTCCATGTTCCATCAGATTGGCAGAACCTCCTTGCTGACCCTACTAGCAGCAATGGCGGTGAGCAGGAATAGGAGACAAAAGAACGGTAGGTAAAGCCCCTGTCTTCACGCTTCCCTTCTGCTGGAATTCCCGGATCGCCACAGAAAACAGCTGCAAGAGAGCCAATGAGTTATCTCAACAAAGGTTGTTTCATTGGAGGAGACCTATTCAATTAACTGAACATACTTAAGTGTTGGTTTACAGTGCTTAAACTAACTGGCCAAAATCTCCCAGTCAAAATTAATGTGCATTTCCTGACACGTACACTTTGCTGAGAGCGTTGTTTTTCTTCAAAGAGGGGGCTGATATTGGCCAGAAGGGATACGCGGGTTTCTTTCCCAGCGCTTCTGTCTTGTTGTCAATTATTCTTTAATTACTTTTCACCTTCCCACCATCTCCTGGCAGGCAGGTTGAAGGAGAACAGAAGGCAAGCTTCTATTTTTTCCCCCTTCTACACTTGCTTTTGCTGAGATTTAAAAGAGATCTGCAATCGCATGATGGCAAATCACCATGTGGCACAGCACTAAACAGGAAAACCTGTTTGTTCTACAACAGGTGGGGTGAAGTGCACCAAATGCAATCTGCTGCTTTGCAATCTTTTAAATGGCTTTTGTACAGCTGCCAAAAGTTTGGGGGGGGGGGAGAATGGGATATGACAGCTCAAAGCTCAGCATTATCAGAACACAGTGTTCGGAGTTGGGGAAAGTGGAGCACAAGTCTCTGGTTTGTAGGCTCTGAAGTCCACCAAAATCCCTACTCTTGATTTTTTACTGACTTAAATGGCTTAAGTAAAGATAAAGGTTTTCCCTGGCATTAAGTCTAGTTGTGTCTGATTCTAGGGGGTGGTGCTCATCTCCATTTCTAAACCAAAGAGCCAAAGACACCTCCAAAGTCATGTAACCAGCATGACTGCATGGAGCGCCGCTACCTTCCCGCAGAAACCGTACCTATTGTTCAGTCTTTCAGGAGCTTGGTTTGCATTGCCCCTTAGTTGCTTGAAATAGCATCCCTTTGCATTCCCCCCAGGGTTGCTACAGTCTTAGCAGCACCCTAATAGTCAAACATTAACAGAGGCTGGAAGCCAGCCTGCAAGCCTTTTGCAGCTATTGGCTTAAAAAAGTATCTCTTTGGTCCAGAGACCACCCTTTTTCCTGGGGATGAGATCTCCATTTTGGGGAAGCTCTCCTGCCTTCTTCAGTATAGAAAAAGCCTCAGATGTGCTGGTGGCCAAGCTAGGCAGCTCGGACAGGCCATTGTGAGTACGGTTACCCTCTTGCCTTGGAAATTGGTGCTGAGCTCAGATAGAGAAAGACCTGCTCTTTCTAAAGGATAGCAGCTCAGCGCTGGGGCAGAGAATATCTCAGGATTTCTCTGCCATTGGGAGAGGCTCCATTACTTCATCCCCAAACTAACCTTGAGCTTGGATAGGGAAAGACCTGCTCTTTCTAAAAGACAGCAGCTCAGGATTAGGGTAAAACATCCCAGGATTTTTCTACCGTTGGGGAAAGCTAACTCAGCAGCCGAAGGAAAAGGGAAGGAAATAACATCTATATGGTTTCACAAGTTGACTGTTTGTGTTTGTAACTTCATCAAGCTGTGCCAATTATGTCAAGGACTTTGAGAAATAAATGTTCTGTTTGATGTTCAAATCTGGACTGGCCTCAGTTGCTGGGAATTCTGAGCTTCTAAGTAAGGCACCCGCAGTTCACCCGGATAAAGAGAGAAGCACATTTTAGTTTCAACTTTATAGTGTCTGGGTGTGATGGCACACCTATTGATCTATTCACATTTGCATGTTTTTGAACTGCTAGGTTGGCAGAAGCTGGGCCTCACAGTGAGAGCTCACTCCACTACCAGATTCGAACTGCTAACCTTGCGGTCAGCAAGTTCAGCAGCTCAGCGGTTTAACTCGCTGTGCCAACACAGAGCCCTTAAGCACATTTTGCTATAGTTTTTCAAGATCTGTTCTGCTAGCAATCAATCAATACTACAGTTTGGATCAATCTATAAATACTGGCTGTGGCCCCTTAAATGGTTTATCCCACTGCAAAAATGGGGATTCATTTTGCATTAAAATGGCAAATGGTTAATCTGTATTGAAAACATCAAAAATCAATATTTATGTGTTGGAATATTATTTTCCACATAGAAATCATAATCATAATCTTTATTTATAACCCGCCACCATCTCCCCAAAGGGGACTCGGGGCGACTAACATGAGGCCAAGCCCAAAAATAATACAGCATAATTAGTCACAAAGCAACAAAAAATACATCATAACGAAATATATAAAATAAACAAAATAAAATGAACAGTGCAAAGTAACATAATAAAAATCAAACACAAAGGGCGGGCCAGATGCATGAGATAAAATGTTAAGACGTTAAAACCCTGGGTGAGATAGGAATAAAAAAGTATGTTGTTTTCTGCACAGAAATTTAATTAGCCACATTGTGGAGAGAAAAAACAAGGTATGAATAAACATAATAATAATTGAAGATATATTCTGTGTAAAATTCACACAAGAATAACAGTATTTTCTGTACAAAAAGCAACTTTTGGACAGATATTAATATTTTTTGTGTGAAATACTATTTTTATACAGAACATGCTACTTTCTGTGCAGATAATGCTGTTTTCTGCACAAAACAACCAATAATAATAATAATAATAATAATAATAATAATAATCTTTATTTATACCCCGCCACCATCTCCTCGATGGGTACTCGGAGTGGCTTACATGGGGCCAAGCCCAAACAAGATATTACATCAAAATAAAATCAAAACATAAACAACAAGCAACATCATCAAAATTACATGGAGAAAAAAATATATACAATAACAAAATAGCATTACAATAAACAAAAAACACAGTCGCAGTAAACAGTGGGCAGGCCACATGTACAAGATAAAATGTTAAAAACTCTAATGAGATAAAAATAGGAGCAAGTTATTTGCCGGGAGCTCATAAAGATACACAGGGTTGTGAAACTAAAATTCCCATTTGGGGTGGCATGTATTCCAGTGACAGAAGTGTTGAGGGGAGCAATAGTGTCATGTTGTGCACCTACTCGCCAAAGACGCAGTAGAAGAGCCAGGTTTTAAGGTTCTTTTTAAACGTTTCTAGTGTAGGGGCTTTCCTGATCTCTCCAGGTAATGAGTTCCAGAGTCGGGGAGCCACAGAGGAGAAGGCTCTCTCCCTTGTGCCCACAAGACGAGCCTGTGAGATTGGTAGGGGCGAAAGGAGGGCCTCCCCCGAAGATCGAAGGGCCCGGGTTGGTTCATGGAGAGAGATACGGTCACGAAGGTAGGTGGGTCCCAAACCAAGCATGACTTTTGCAAAGAATCAGTCCAAAGTCTCTGAAGACTGCTTGATTTGATAGACTTTCTCACACTGGGCAGAAAATAGCTGAAATTACTTTACCTACCTTCAAGAAGAATCTTAGCGAAAACTACATCTCTAATTTTCTCTCCCAAAATGGCTAAAACTAATAAAAAATGAAAACAGATGTAACAGAAGTCACTTCTGGTTGCTTTCTGCACAAAAAATCATCTGTTGCTTAATAAAACTCTCTCTGAAAAAAGATACTGAAATCTGATTCAGTTGGACACAATTGCCACTGGAGTTGGGTTTAGCATATGGGAAGGCAACCTGAATGGGGAGCACCGGACAATTTCCACCTCTTCTTTCTCCTACCCTTCTGCAGCTGCTGCCTTCCTCAAGGATAAATTCCCCCTTGGAAAGAAGAGCAGGAGAGAAAAGAAGGGAAGGGAAGGAGAGCCTGCAGGGCATCTCAAATCCTCCTCTCAGCAAGCGATTGCCCAGGGCTCTCCTTCCCTTCCCTCTGCTCGTTCTTTGGGCAACACCATGGCCCGCCTACTGAAGGCCCCCTCCGTGGAGCCAGTGCATCTTCCTGGAATAACTTTCCAAGAGGGAACTAGCCTTTGAGGAAGGTGGCGGAGGAGGAAGAGGAGGCAGTGGAGGAGCCGTGCTCCTCATCGCCGGGGAGGAGGCCAGGAAGAGGCTCCACCTGGGGCTGGTGCAGAGGCTATGTGTGACTGCCCTGACCCTCCTCGCAGCACGAGGATGTGGTGGGTCACAGCATCTTCATGCTGATAGGACACTGTGAGAGAGGAGGACCTGAGAAAAGAGCTCAAAGGGCCACATCTGCACCCCACCCCTGGGCCTGGGATTGCCAATACCTGCTTTGGAGACACAGCAACATATTCAGGAACACCAGAAATGGCACCAACAGTCCTCTCAATGAACGATAACAGTTGGCTGGGATGGACAGAATGAAAGATGTCCCACGCATTCCACCACTGACTGAACTACAGCCCAATCCAACTTATCTGCTTACGGAAACACTGTGGGATTTCTCCGGTCCATGTTCCATTGCCTTCACAAGTCAGGACAGCTGGTAGGGAGAGCTGGTATCCTTCCAAGCAGGTGTAGCTCACACTGGAACCCCAGCTGAAGTCAGATCCCACAACCTTTCCATTGGGGACCACTTGCGGAGGTTTACATAGGATAGCTAGACAGAAGGCAGAGGAAAGTTATCGTTAGTTCCCAGTAAAGAGCTGTTTTGCATTCATTCATTCATTTTAGTTTATAGCACTCCATTTTCCCAATATGAGATCCAAGGTTGCTTAAATGAGTCCCCTTGGGGAGAGAGGGCAGAATATAAATAAAGTGTTTTTGTTGTTAAATTACAAGTTAAAATAAAATTGCTAAACAATGGTTATTTCAATAGGTATTCCTAAAAAAATTCTAAACTCTTCCAAAAAATCTCAGTGACACCCTTAGGGTGCATCTAAATGTTTATGGTAATTTTTACATTATTTTAATGGCACCTATGTTGTATAGCCACCTTGAGTCACCTTCGGATTTGACAAAGGCGGGGTAGAAATATCATAAATAAATAAATAAATAAATAAATAAATAAATAAATAAATAAATAAATTTACACTTTAGAATTAATGCACCTTTATACCATTTTAACTGTCATAGCTCAATGCTATGACATCTTGGGAATTGTGGTATGGTTAGGCATCAACACTCCTTTGTAGACATCTACAAGATCTTTAGTTTTCTCTGCTAAAGAGTGCTGGCACTTCACAGTGCAGCACTCTGAATGTCCTTTGGAAGCTGAGGAGCTACCACTGAGAAGACTACCAGATGAGCCTTGAAGATTATATAGTTTGGGCAGACCTATATGCTGAGATATATACTTCCCACAATCCATGTTTCTTTGGAACGTTGCAGAGCATACAGGTCTCTTGAGATATTATCTTGCTAATAGGCAGAACTTACCTTTGCAGACAGGTCTGGTGCCATTCCAGGTTCGGTCTTTGGTACACATCAGAGCAGAAGCCCTGTCTGACTCCATCATGTAGCCTGGCATGCACTGGAAGACAACCGATGTATTGTAGGTGAAATCACTGCCCAACCGAATGCCATTGGCCGGGATGCCAGGGTCGCCACAGTTTATCACTGGAAGGAGGGGAGATATTGGCAAGCTGATTACTTTAGTTGAAGAAAAAACACTGAGTCTTTTTTGAAAGATTGGGACACATTATGAAAGGCATCTTCTCTTTTTTGTTGCTGAAGAAAGTCAATTGCAGTATGACCCCAGTATCCAAGGACACAAGTACCCATGGTTTCATTTATTCACATCCAACAAAACATGCTCTCTCCAGATCAGTGGTTTTCAACCTGTGGGTCCCTAGATATTTTGGCCTACAACTCCCAGAAATCCCAGCCAGTTTACCAGCTTTCTTGGAGTTGAAGGCCAAAATACTTGGGCACCCACAGGTTGAGAACCACTGCTCTAGGTCTTCCCTCATGAATGTATGGTACATCTGTCAAATTCAAGGAATTTGACACCTCTGCTCTATGGTATTCTTGGTCCAGAAGTTCTTCATTTCAATAGGGTTCTCTATCATCTGGAGTTTTGTGTATTATTATTATTTACATCATTTTTATCCCACCCATTTCAGCCCGAAGGCAACTCAGGGCAGCGTACAGACTGGCAACAATTAGATTCCATACACACACACACACACACACACACACACATACACACACACACACATCATTTAAAAGCAATTAAATCACATTATAAATACATATAAAAGCAATAAAACTATAAGAATCTATAAAAACAATGTCTTCCAGTTCAATTCCTCATCCGTTTACATTGTCTTGGCCGTTCTGTGTTCATATTCCAATTTGAGTTTATCTGGACATGCTGAAGTTCCAAACACATGCTGAAAGAGCCAGGTTTTCAATCTTTTCCGAAAGGTCAGGAGGGAGGGGGTCGATCTAATATCCTTGGGCAGGGAGAAGGCCCTGACTCTCATCCCCACCAGATGCGCCTGTGAGGCAGGCGGGATCGAGAGCAGGGCCTCCTCAGACCCATGTGACTTCCTGGAATGTGCCCCCCACAAATACTGGGGGAACGTACTGTACAAAATATCAGTGTAGACTTTGATAATAATACGATAAAGCAAGTAGTTTGAGTAACTGAGATGTATAAATCTCAGCTACGCTGGAAGAAGAGATTTACTTGGCTTGGTATAATCATTGTTGAAAAAGCAAGAAGTCAACGTATTTTTAAAAATAGAGATAAAGAGCTATTCACCTGTACATTCTGGAGTGCTCCCAGTCCAGGTCCCATTGACAGTGCAATGCCTGCTGAGCACGCCAGTGGAGTAGTAGCCCTCCCGGCACTTGTAAATGATGGAGCTGGCAAACACGAGGCCGTCATTAAAGATTACTCTGGCATTGCTGGGAGTCCCTGGGTTTCCACAAGATATAACTGCAAAGAATGACAGAACAAATCAGAGGGTTGCTCAAAAACCCCCAAATGGTCTGGATAAATATCTCATCATTCTACGAAGTTGCTGCTATACAGCCTGAACACTTATTTGCCCAGGAGTGGACCAATCTGAGGAGGGGACGAATTTTGCTCCTTGGACCCCTTGATGCCCTGGGACTATGTAAACTGGGAAAATCCTATTCATTTGCTTCTACTTTTGTTCCTATGGGTTTGAGGGGTAAAACAAGGAAAAGGAGGGCACCATGTGTTGTGTCAATGTAAAACTGTTCATAGTGGGTTTTTCTCCAGTCAAACATTTTTGGAGTGAGTGCTGGAAGCTCCCCATGGAGTTCACTGAATGTCCCTAAGTAAGGGATGTGGAAAGTGTGCCTTTGGACAGCATGGGGTCAACAAACCATATTTTTGTAGTCCGTGAGGCTCCCTGGGAGGCCTCAAATCTGCTGGCATTTCAACTATTTGATCAAAAATGTGTATTAATTAGGAACATCTGTGCCAGTTTGAGATAGTTGAAGGGTGTTCGACTTTGAGGAGTAGAGAGACCCCCAAAAGAGATTGCAATCACAGGTCTACAGGTCCCACTTTTCCTAGCTCAACAGATACAGCGGACTCTCTGTATCCACAGATTCTGTATCAGTAACGAGAATATTAGAAAAGATACTAAAATGCAAACCTTATTCTCCTATGTTATACGAGAGATAACATTTTACTACACCTTCATATATAATGGGATGAGTGTTGTGATAGAGTCTGCTAGCAATGATAGTAATACTGGTAGTATTAGGAGAAGCAGGAAAACTACTCGCGAGCAAGACTCTGTCGAAGAGCAACTGATTGGGGCTGTTTTGAGTTTGTTTGAGCAATAAACTTTATTATCTGAATTGGCTGGCGTCTGACCTTGACAATGAGTATCCATGGATGTTGGTATCCATTGGAGGGCAGGGTCCTAGAAACAAACACCAGTGGATATCAAAGGCTGACTGTACCATCGGAGATCACACTATCTAGCAGCATTCGAAAACTTTTCTGTTCCTGGTTTGATTTTCTGTTTAATTGTGCAGTTCTTACTTCAAAAGTAGTTGTTATCCTCCAGAAACTTCATTTTTGTAGCTGCCCAAATTATATTGAATTGGTTGTCTATGAGATATTCATTGAAAAACTATAGCAAAATAATGCAGGATGTTCCACAAAAACAAAGTTTTTGCAGTTTAATCAACTTTCCTCGTGTTTTTATGACAGAATCAATTAGGAAATGACATTTATTTGATTTTCTATTGTATTATTTTGTATTGTTTTGTTATATTTTATGCTTGTCTTATTTTATTCTATTATGATATTGCCTTATGTTTTTTTGTTACTGTATTGTAATGCATGTCTGGGCTTCGCCTCATGTAAGCCGCCTCGAGTCCCCGTTGGTGGCGGGGTATAAATAAAGATTATTATTATTATTATTATTATTATTATTATTATTATTTATAACCCAGGAATAAAAAGTCGTGTTACATACTACCTCATCAGTCGGGGCTGAAATCGGCGGCGATGCAGTCCCCCTTCCCTTTTGCCACGGAGCCCACCAGCTCCCATCCCATGATGCATAGCTTCTTCTGGTTCCGTGGTAAAAGAGAAAGGGAACTGGCATATGCCATGTCAGTGGCAACACGGGAAGCTTCATGTGTTGTATAGAGATCAACGGGCATAGTTGGATGGCAGACACTCCCCCCATGGGATGAAATAAGGGGGAAGCTGAGCGAAGCGGGGCATGGGGCAACAGGCTCCCCATGCCCGTTGCGCACTGCCCGATTCACCACAATGTGTGGCCATTCTAATGGCAAATGGGGTGAGGTACATAGTGTTATGCTACCGAAGCCCAAGACTCTTCCCTCATTGACTAGCACAGAATAGATACCTTTTATCTCTAATTTACATATCTAAATATCCCTCTTAATCTATGCAGTGAATTTTCCTCTCAATGATGCTGACATCCTTCTTGATTCAGCAACAAGGCTTTCTGTGCCTGGAAAAATGCCATGGACTCTCCTCCCCTCTCCTCCCCACTGTCTCCTTCAGATCAAGTGGGTTTTGAAGGTCATCATCACAATATGGAGGCAAGCCTACAATGAGCAGGAGGAAAAATTGCCTTAACTGCCTCCAAGTCAATGTTTTTATTGAAGAAGGCTAGGTGCCTGAAGAGCTTTGACCTACAACTGGAGCCTTACCTTGGGTCAGAAACCTCACTCTTCCCTTTATCTTTTCTCACAATGGAATCAAAGGCCCCAAATCAATCCCATGCAAGACACTAGAATGCATTCACTGGAATCCAGGCTTGCAGTAAGATGGAGCTGAAAATCTCCAGGGTCCTCTAAAGTCCTGGCTTCAGAGCCAGAAATTTCACATTCTATTTAAACTGAAGAGTATCTCATGCGGGGAATGCGGAAGTACTTCATCAGTGTCGCAGATGGACGATGAAAGCGACAGCTCCCCTGGTGGCCAGAAAAAGTTAAATAGCCTCTGTCTATGTCTGTATATGTTGTATGTCAAAATTGACATTGAATGTTTGCCATATATGTGTACACTGTAAATAAATAAATAATTTTGCATGTGACACAAGGAGAGGTGAGAAGGACAAAAGTAGTGACACAACCAACAAGTCACCTTTAATGTCTCCTTGGTTCTATCAAAAATGTGATGGAAGAGAACCTAATATTTGCTTATTTTGTTCCCAAAAGGATGTAACCAATTGGAGGAAGGGGCAGGAGGACACAGGGAAATTCCCTCTAATATGATCTTCTGGCCTTCTTGAATGTCCATCTGGTCCCCTGAAGTGGAGGTGGTACTTTAGCTTCTCTATGGAATGATCCTTGGGACTTATACACGGGTCATATAAAAATCCATAATCTTGGCTTCAACTTATACAGGAGGTTGGCCTATCCATGAGTATATGAGTCAATTCCTTTCAAATTCAGAGCTTTGAATTGCTTAACGCAAGTCACTACAGAATGGGGGACACCTGGCTCAAGAGCAGTTCGTGTGAAAAAGATCTTGGAGTCTTTGTAGATAACAAGTTAAACATGACCCAACAATGTCATGCGACGGCAAAAAAAAAAGGTAATGGGATTTTGGCCTGCATAAAAAGGAGTCTAGTGTCTAGATCCAGGGAAGTCTTGCTACCCCTCTATTCGGTCTTGCTCAGACCACGACTGGAATCCCACTGTGTCCAATTCTGGGCACCGCAATTGAAGGGACATGGTGACAAGCTGGAATGTGTCCAGAGAAGGGCGACTAAAATGAACAAGGGTCTGGAGAACAAGCCCTATGAGGAGTGGCTTAAAGAGCTGGGCATGTTTAGCCTGCAGAAGAGAAGGCTGAGAGGAGATAAGATGAAGCCATGTGTAAATATGCGAGGGGAAGTCATAGGGAGGAGGGAGCAGGCTTGTTTTCTGCTGCCCTGGAGACTAGAACGGAACAATGGCTTCAAATTACAGGAAAGGAGATTCCACCTGAACATTAGGAAGAACTTCCTGAATGTGAGAGCTGTTGAACAGTGGAACTCTCTTCCCAAGAGTGTGGTGGAGGTTCCTTCTTTGGAGGCTTTAAACAGAAGCTTGATGGCCATCTGTCAGGGGTGCTTTGAATGCGATTTTCCTGCTTCTTGGCAGGGGCTTGGACTGGATGGCCCATGAGGTCTTTTCCAACTCTATGATTCTATGACACACAGAAATTCTCTCTGATAAGAACTTCTGGCCTTCTTGAATGTCCATCTGGACCCCTGAAGTGGAGCTGGTACTTTAGCTTCTCTATGGAATGATCATTGGGACTTATCCATGGGTCATTAAAAAAATCCATAATCTTGGTTTCAACTTAGAATCATAGAATCATAGAATCAAAGAGTTGGAAGAGACCTCATGGGCCATCCAGTCCAACCCCCTGCCAAGAAGCAGGAATATTGCATTCAAATCACCCCTGACAGATGGCCATCCAGCCTCTGTTTAAAAGCTTCCAAAGAAAAAGCCTCCACCACACTCCGGGGCAGAGAGTTCCACTGCTGAACAGCTCTCACAGTCAGGAAGTTCTTCCTAATGTTCAGATGGAATCTCCTTTCTTGTAGTTTGAAGCCATTGTTTGCATCCTAGTCTCCAGGGAAGCAGAAAACAAGCTTGCTCCCTCCTCCCTGTGGCTTCCTCTCACATACTTATACATGAGGTTGGCCTATATACAATATAAGTCCATTCCTTTCAAATTCAGAGCTTTGAATTGCTTAACGCAAGTGACTAAAGGCAGACTGTGAGACTCGGTGATTTGTAGGGTTCTTTCCCAACAGCATCATCTCTTGAGTCATAGAATCATAAAATCATAGAATCAAAGAGTTGGAAGAGACCTCATGGGCCATCCAGTCCAACCCCCTGCCAAGAAGCAGGAATATTGCATTCAAATCACCCCTGACAGATGGCCATCCAGCCTCTGTTAAAAGCTTCCAAAGAAGGAGCCTCCACCACACTCCGGGGCAGAGAGTTCCACTGCTGAACGGCTCTCACAGTCAGGAAGTTCTTCCTCATGTTCAGATGGAATCTCCTCTTGTAGTTTGAAGGCATTGTCTGCGTCCTAGTCTCCAGGGAAGCAGAAAACAAGCTTTGCTCCCCCCTCCCTGTGGCTTCCTCTCACATATTTATACATGGTTATCATATCATATCTCAGCCTTCTCTTCTTCAGGCTAAACATGCCCAGCTCCTTAAGCCGTCCTCATAGGGCTTGTTCTCCAGACCTTAACATTTTAGTCGCTCTCCTCTGGACACATTCCAGCTTGTCAATATCTCTCTTGAATTGTGGTGCCCAGAACTGGACACAATATTCCAGTGTGGTCTAACCAAAACAGAATAGAGGGGTAGCATTACTTCCCTAGATCTAGACACTATGCTCCTATTGATGCAGGCCAAAATCCCATTGGCTTTTTTTGCCACCACATCACAGTCAGACTTATTGTCGGG